AGTACTGGTCCAGTTTTGCTGAGCCAATACCTGCACAGCCTGATTATACCAGGTGAGATTTAAATGTTGAAATGCAGCCATTTTATCTGCATCACCGCAAGTGGTTCTGCACCAGTGGGGCATTTGCTCTTGCCAGAGTTAAATGTATAAAAAGCAAACAACAGTCTCCTAAACACCAGCATGCGAGCACTTTATGTAGAGACATTTGCACTCATTACATCTCTTGTTTCGTTTCTCTCTGTTATCTTCTGGTTTATGTCTCAGACTGATCCTACAGAAAGGTATTTGCGTGCAAATCTTATGTTCAGGCCACGTTCAGTCTGTTAAGTGAAGAAAAAAGTAGGGAGTATCCATGCACTGGATTACAGCTGCCAGACTTTATTGAACTAAGAAGGACTCAAGATTGTCAAAAATCAAATGGGTGGGGAAAATTGTAGAAATCAAAAAAATATTATGATTCCTAAAAATATTTTTAAAAACAGAGTACCAAAAGATTTGACACCGGCTGATCAGGTTTGTAAACATTGGTGCACGTGATGTCTGGGTCTAGAAGTATACATTTGGCACGTTTCCTATTGCTGCTATTTGTAAACCCTATAAACTGTCAACTAATTCTTTTTCAGTGGTCCTTTATTTTTATTTTTTTATGGGAAATGATCCGTACCTGGGGAAAATAGTCACGTCTCTGCTATCAGCAATATTCACGTAATTTGGAGTTAATAAATGCTTCTTAATGGCTGCATTCATGCTGTAGACTGGAGTCACAATTTCACAAATCACTGAAATCAACATATTATTAGGAGAGACCATTGAGGAAACTTAGTTGTAGTTTGTGTTTCACCTTTTTCTTGCTCATTATTTGTTTGTTTGTGTATATGATGGGAAGACCCCCAACAAATCCAGAGCTTTAGAAAGTCAAGTTAAGTAGCAAAACTGGGATTAACATTTAGGTTTAAAAAATTTGGTCCGCTGTGATTCTGTATTCCGACAGCTGTGTGATCAAATGATGAAGTAATACTGTGACATTTCAAATTGTAGGTGGGTGTTTTTCTTCACTACTGTCTTATCTTACCCTTTATTCAGTGGCATGAACATTGTTTGCATTCCTCCCAAACACTGAGGAGTGTAGCCAGCTGAAAGGTTGACAGTTTACCCCAAACTGCAGTTGTGCATTATTATGTGTCAGTGGAGCAGAATTACAGAATTTCTGGAATATTGTCAGACTTCAAGGGAACTGTGGTGATTTACAGACACCACTGGAATGGACTTTGCAGCTTGTTTTCATACACTTTAACTACATCACTGTTTGTTTGCTGCACAGGATTATTGGATGTCTTGGTGTAAATGTTTAAATATGTGACACAGTAAAGTCTGGATTTGAATGTCCAGCACTAAATCAACATCAAACTAAACCTTGATCTGTCTTGCAGAAACAAATTTGAGATTGACCTTGTGGAGCTAGTTATTTTATTGTGGCTCCTTCTAGCCGGAAACGGAGGAAGCTGTTGACAAGACCACCGTGGTTACTAAGATAGTACCACAGCGTCTGTGCTGTGAAGTCAGTTTCAGTGGAGCAACTCCAAATATTTGTCCAACAAAAGAATGTTAGGGTTTTATTCATTTTAAACTAAATTCATGTTCGCAGATCTAGGTTTCACAGGCAAAACCACAGGAATGGTTTTTCTGCAAGAGTTTCTGTGTACATTTTTTATTTTTTTTTTCAGCCACATGGATGGTGCACAACCTTGTAAATAACTGACTAAGCCTCTACTTGACAATAAAACAGTATTTAAAGTAGGAGTTCACTTGTAGTTGTTCAGATTGTATGAGTTACTCACCAGTAGTAATATTAATGCATACGTATTTAGCTATGCTGGTAGTGAGGTGTGTTCAGAGATGTCCAGCAGGCTTCCAAATGGTCAGAAGAAAGAGAACTGCAGCACACGGGACCATTAAACATAAACATCTCCAGCCACCATACAACATGCAATAAGACATTTTCAACTACTCACAATATAGCACCAAAAAGTTAGTGTTTGTTTATTTATTTTTTTTCTGCTGTTAATCGCTCCCAATTTAATCAGATCAGCATATATAGATTAACTTGTTTTCCAACTGAACTTGACATTTTCGTCATAATGCAGAACAGAACTACACTATGCCGTGTTCCCATAATGAAGAAGACATCAGAGTCACTGGGGATTTAGAGAAGTCCATAATTAGCTGTTAGCCAGCCAAGCTAACGCAACATATTAAACACGCCCTTTGTCTACATGTGAAAGACACTCAGACTATTGGCACACAGAGAGAGAGAAGACTGGGAGAAAGTGCTTGTTAATTACGTTTGATACCTGGCCTGAGCCTGAAGATACATGCAACAGCACGACCCCAACTCAAACTGAGACCTGATAACTTGTGTGCTGTGTCAGTTAGTGAAACTCTATTGCAGCCCAGCTGTATTGTGTTCTCTTTAAACACTAACTGACTGGACTGGTAGTAACACTAGCTCTGTAGTGGTTTCTGTTGTTCACAGTGATACTTCAAGGTTTCCTGTGGAGTTTTTGTAAACAAACAAAAATTATGTTTACATTCAGTGTTACTCACCAAAATGTGTTGTGTATTTTTGAGGTCTAGTAAACACGATAATTGCATTTCCTACTTCCAAAGCCAATTTTCCTTAAATGTTTGAAACCTGCATTCTTACATTTCCTTCCTTCATTTTAGGTGTCATCTTGAAAGGTTGGTAAATTCTTAATTTTAACCATCATGTTTAGGCATATTAATTTGAATGAACTCTCTGAAAAAGTATTTTCTTGTGTTCACTTGTACTTCGTAGCCAGTGTTGTGCAAGTTACTCAGAAATTGTAATATATTACTAGTTACTTTATTACTCCTTAAAGTAATATTATTACTTATTACTGGGTGATAAAAGTAACTAGTTACGTTACTAGTTAGGCTATGTCACTATATTACTTTCCAGTGTTTCCCACAGAATGACTGCTGGGGGGGGGCTGGTATTCTAACTTTGGGCAAGTTTGTGCAGCGTTGTTCATGAAAGAAAGAGGGAGCAAGCGAGGAGGTGGTGCACCAATATATGCTCCTCAATTCAGCTCCTCATTCAAATATGATTTTAAATATGCCTAGTGAAGAAAAGAGAAAATTGAAAATCAATACCTGGCGGTCAGTGTTGATAATTATCCAAATTATAGGCTAATCATGGGAAACACTGCTTTCACTACCACCCCCTTCACCCCCCAAACAAAGCAGTCTCTCCCGACTTTCTAGCTAATATCATATTCATAACCGCAGCAAGGAGTGTGGTTTTCACAAAGCATATAGCCTAGGCCTAACGTTTCTTAACACCAGCGGCTGGAAGTAATCCCGACTTTAAACAGCGGTTTTACTGCACATGTACCCTATTTACTGTATAAGAGCAGTATTCAGTAGTTACAAAACACTACGTTAAAGCCGCTCTCTCCCGACGAGTCCAAGCATCAGTGGCAGTTTATTTCTGTAAGTTTCACGTTGCTGCTTCAGCAGATGCTTCAATAAATCAGATGTAGAAATGTTCGCCGTTGAAAGCTTTTTGCTGGTTTACACTAGACGGGAATGTTCTTTGCATCAGACTGACACAATAATGGCAGTAGCTACTTGCAGCTGTGGAAAGAAGGCCTCCCTCCCTTAGTTTTTTGCTATCAGCGGACATGAACAACAAAGTCCGGTGCCGCTGACCTGCAGCACAGTCGTTGATTCATGTCAAAGATGGTGCGTTCAGTAACGAGTAATGCAGCGTTACTAAGTAACTAGTAGTAATATTACTGTTTTAGAAAAGTAGTTGCACTACTTAGTTACTGGGAAAAGTAATATTATTACAGTAACGCGTTACTAGTGCCCAACACTGTTCGTAGCTAACGGCTAGGTAAGTCCTCTGTTGATACCTTACTCTGGAAATTAGCAAGCATTAAATTATCATGACCAAAACATACAATCAAAGTTAATATGAACCAGTGGTAAAATATCCCAGCACACATTTACGACTTCCAACTTCAAACAAAACATCATGTATTCAATGGCTGAGGAAAAACTAGTGACATTAATATGTTACTTGTTAACTATATTGCTGTCAGCTAACGTTACATCAGTTGGTAATCTTCAAATGTCCGTTTTTCTGAATAACTGTTGTGGAGAGAAGAGGTTGTTTAAAAACAGGCAAATATACTTTACATTGCCTTTTAAGTTAACGGTTTACCATTAACAATATGCTCTTCCATGGGCACTGCCATTGTGTGACATCAGACAGCTGCCTCGTCAAGAAGTCGGGGTAGATGGATTTGCCCCGATTTCACAAATAAGAACTCCAACTTTGAGTGGCGTTTCATTGTAGGTTTCTAGTTGTAGGTCAGAAATTTTCCAAGTCGAAGTAGTCTGGAACACAGCTTACTACTAGCAAGCAATCTTCTTCATTCCTGCCATTGCTGGCGCATTGCTGCATGATTTGGTGCATTACCGCCATCTGTGGGTCGGTGAAATAGTGTGATACCATTGGCAGGATTGTGTATCACGTCATCTTTGTGCATGTGCGTCCTTGCATTGCTTGCAAGCACAAGACAATCAAAATGGGGACCCGCTCATAGAAAAACAGCTCCATAGCACTACTCTAAAAGGCCACAGGTTACCTTTTAAGCGTACAACAAAGAAGCTTGATTTGTTGACCAGTCGCTGGTCTCTGGGCTAATATCCATGAACTAATTTTATATGACTACTGGTGAGAATCGAATACCACCTAATGTCAAAAGAGAGCTATTCCTTTAACATATATTCACATATCAGATATTTAACACAACATTTCTCAATTTTAAATGTGTGAAGGACCCCTGGTTATCCATCTGATCATGGATTTGGGTCAAACGGGTCCTGTAAGTTTTCCTTTCAGGGCTAGTGTGAATGTTTTTAACAACATTTTGTGACCCTCGTCTCTTACATTTTCACCTCTTACACAGACTTATTGCCAGTCCTTGTGCCCAGAGTCTCAACATTCATCCAGGTGGTGGACGAAGAGCTCAGCCCAATGCAGTGCTGGAGAAAGTGTTTACATCCATCACAAAGGTTTGGCTTCTCTCTCTTCATTCTGGAGTATCAGTAATGGCTGATATAATGCCATTATTCACATCATCTGACAGCTCAAGACAGATAATATGATTACCGAGTTGGACATATGAGGGTTAAATATACGGTGCCTCCACGATATAACACTATATCCATTAAATTTGGTTTAATTACATCAAACAATGAATTTTTAGGCTGGTATGAGGCATACATTTTTGCCTGGTTCTGTCTTGGTTCGCTTTCAGAAATATTGGCTATTGACTTGAACATTATTAAGTTGGAAATTTGTAATTACGAAAACTTGGATATGACACGAACACGGCATTACCAGTCAAAACAATCAATTCAATTCAGCTTTATTGGCATGAATTTCAAACAACAATATTGCTAATCCATAACTATGGATATTTGGCTAATTGTGCTAATGATATTTCTTTGTCACTAATACAACTGTCCAATTAACATGGTCTTCAACAAAAAAGTCTTAATAATGAATAAATAGATTTTTATTTATAGTGTGTTTCAAGGTACTCAAAGACACTTTACATACATCTAAGATAAGCATGTCTAAAAACCTTAGTTTTGTAACTGCATCTTTTACAAGAATGCAAATTGGTATCAGACAATATTAGTATCGGTAAATACAGTGGAGGAGGAAATATCAGAGATTTATGTCAGCTTCAAAAAACTATAATGGAGCATTCCAGTGTCCTTGGTCACACTTTTGTCACACTGGGCATGCATATTTAATTTTACTTATTTTGGTGTCCTCATTTCAAGCTGTCAATTTGCCATAGCGAAGTGGATAGCTACACACTGCCAGCTGATTAGTATTGAGGAAGATGTCTGTCTTAGGAACGTTCTTAAATCACAACGTAGTCGCTTGACCCCGCGGGGTTGCTCTTTCTTCAGGTAAACAGGGGACAAGCACTCCGCAATCAAACGCAGGTGCTCTATGGATGGTAACCTTGGCAACATGGCTTCTGTGCGCCATACAGGTGTAGCCTTTTTAACTTAAGTTAAATTTATACATAACTTTACCTGATAGGCCTTCATCTAGTTTTGCAGGAATGCTCTGCCATGCGAATTCCCTCCTGGATGTAAGGTCTTTGGACTCTGATGGTAACTTGTTTTAACAAGCTTAGATAAAAGGTTAATGCCCTGGTGTTTAAGTTGAGATTTACAAGAAATTTTATTGGTACTATGTAAAGGGAAAACTTATTTAAAATGTTTGCAAACTACATGTTATCGCGCTTTTGTGTATATAGAAGTACATTTAAATTAAAAGTGTGCAATACACTACTTCATTATTAAATTTTGCGCATAACTATGCGATTTAAAATTTTTAATCATTGCCCAGCACTACATAAAATCAGATAATTTCCGGAAACTACAGTATCTACAAGACCAATATAAAACCTCACGAAAGTCACAAAATCAGATGCAAGAGTTTAGTGGAAACTGTTATCCTGGCAGCATGCAGTTTTCAGTTAAACTTTTAGTGCATTATCACTTTAAACTGCGTGCATAATTATTACGCAAGTAAGTTTTCTGAATGAATAATTATTTCTATGCACAGTTTTCAACTCTAAGCCATAAAAACTTGAATGCTCATTGGAGTCCATCATGATATGCATTTGTGTGATGAAGGAGGGTGTTAAGTGAACGACACCTTATATCAAGGTGTGCATGATTATTACGCAGTTTCATTACCTCAGGTAAAATGGGCCAAAAAAGAGATTTAAACTGAAAAGTCAAAAATTGTAAAATGTCTTTCAGACGGATCCAACACTCATGAAATAACTAAACTTTTGACGCGTGACCACTGGACATTCAAATGTTTTGTTGCGCGTAGTCAACTGAGGTGCGAGAAGAAATGGTGCAAATTAACTGCAGCCAGTGCCACCATTATCCAGAACTGCAACCTACCTGGAGTGTCCAGATGTACAAGATGCCAATTGCTCAGAGACATGGCCAAGGTTCACAATTTATAGACGGATGAAATGAGAGTCTGGATGAACCAGATGAATGGAGCTGTGGCTCGAACACTGATGGACACTGCACCACTTTGACTCAGGCACCAGCAAGATGAAGCAGGGGTACTGGTATGGGCTGCTATCATGAAGGATGAGATAGTTGGACCTTTTCAGGTTGAAGATGGACTGAGACTCAACTCCCAAACCTACTGCCAGTTTCTGGAAGATGCTTTCTTCTTTAAGCAGTGGTATGGGAAGAAGCCCTTAGTTTTTTAAGAAGGCCATGATCTTTATGCAGGACAATGATCCATCACATACATCAAAGTACTCACTGTTTGGCTAACCAGCAAGGGCCTCAAAGATGCCCGAGTAATGACTTGGACTACCTGACTTGAATCCAATTGAACTTGTAGGCCCTTCTAAAACGTGAGATTTACAGCAAAGTCCTTATGGGCTCTTAAAACATCTGTTTACAATCAGGGAAGACAATACACCTCCTGAATAGCATTTAGGAGGCTGTGGTTGCTGCTTTAGCGAACGTTGATAGACAGACCAGACTCCATGGATGGAAGGCTCATGGCAGTTATTGAAAAGAAGTGCGGCTATTGGTCACTAAATATTATTGAAAGGACAAAATTATTATTTTGATTGTCATTTTATGTTGTTACACTTTATAAATTGAGAATTGTCTTAAGATTCTCATGTTGAAGCCCAAATAATGAATTATTAGCCAACTTGCAATACGCTAATGCTTGGACTGGTTGCTGTATATAGTGGATACAGTTGTTTCTTCCCTCTCTGCACAGAATCCAGACTCTCGCCATCTGGATGGCCTGTCCAAGCAGCTGGACTGGGAGGTGCGAAAGGTTCAGCGCTGGTTCAGACACCGCAGGAACCAAGATAAACCCAGCACACACACTAAGTTCTGCGAGAGCATGTAGGTTAATGCCTATTGTCTTCACCTTTAACCTCTCTGCAGGCCTGAGCACACAATGGTTGTGTTTTCTGTCCAGGTGCGGTATGATGTAGTGTGTGTGTGTGTGTGTATATGTGTGTATGTTCCTGTATTGCTGTCTTTGTGAGGACAAGTTTTAGACCATCAGAGTGAGAACATGTTTGCGGTTTGTTTCATTTTTGTTTCTTCAGTGCCTGTTTTATTGCTTTTACTTGGATTTAGATTTTAAAAAAAGAATTGGGTTAGATTAGAGATTGCAATGAGACATGCATTGCTAATGGTTAGGTAGGGGCAAGTAGATGTGCATATGTTTGATTTTTACTGGGTTATTTATATCTTAAACAAGTCTTATTTTCTGGATCATAATTTCTTCTCTTTCACTTCTAGGTGGAGGTTTACATTTTATTTGTGCATATTTATCTATGGGTTCCAGTTTCTGTGGCAGGTGAGCACACATTCAGATCAAGCTTGGAAACTTAAGTTAATAACATTACTAATTGTTTGCTGAACTAATACATGTTTGGTTTTAGACACCTTGGATGTGGGATACACGGCATTGCTGGTACGGCTACCCCTATCAGGTATGGTGCAGTTCCAGTCTGCAATCCAATACAACAACTGCAGCCTCAGAAATGTAAACCCTCAGACTACAAACTGCAGACTGCCCATCGTTATCTGCCTTTTTTAATGAAATGAGTGACTGTGAAGATTTGAACCCAGTTTAAGACACATTACTTGTCATCGGTTATTGCTTAATTTTGACATTGCAGTGATTCATCAGTCCAGGATGTGTGTTGTCACGATGTGTCAGTGGTGGTCACAGCTCATTCTTTCAGTGTCGATGCTTTTTGATATCCAGTTGGTTTTAAACACTTTAAAATGACCCACTGAGCCTGTCTTACCTCTCTTCAGGTCATGACCCCGGGTCTTTACCGCTACTATGTGACGGAACTGGCCTTCTACTGGTCGCTAATGTTCTCCCAGTTCACCGACATTAAAAGAAAGGTAAGAGGAACAATGCTGGCTATGTCTCTGTGAGGCTAGACCAAGATGGACACTCCACAGTTGCCACTGCCGGTGAAACGTGTTAATAAGTCTATTGTTCCTCATTTGACAGTGGCAGCGAATATGTGTGTTTGTGCGTGTCCATGTGCAGTGCCAAGTTTTTCAAATGTATGCTTTGTTACATGCTCTTACTGTTAATTTTAGAAGGTCACATGCTTTTGTTTTTACGGAGAGGGGCGGGGTGCATGCTGGGTGCTGCTCAGTCTGTGAGTGCTTTGTATTTTCAGCACAAGATCGCCGGCTGTCATGTGACTGCAGGATGGAGCAGGCCTAACTCTGTCAGAATTGCAGAAATTCCACTGAATATCAGCCTGTTAGAGCAGAAGTTAGTTACAGCCACAAACACAGTGGCCTTTAATGTTTACAGTGTTTTACACAGCAAATGTCTGGAATGCAAAACTGGAAATATAGGCCAGTGCTACTTGTTTAATTTGAAGGCTGTTAGAGTTTGAACGCTAAGAGGCATTTTATGTATATTTTCTTCATGACATGATGAGATGAAGCTCCTGCTCAGCTGATTAGTAGATTTGTGTTTATTGAGCTAGAGGCCTTTATATTATTATTTATAGGCCTCTCACTGTGCACATTATGTTTTATATTTACGCTCTTAAGCAGCCTTGCTATTTTAGTGACTCACAGATCATTAAAAATGTCGAATTATGGTAATGTTAAACAAGTGAAAGACACTGTACAGAAAGTTGGCTGGAAATATAGAGCAATCAGACCTCAACCCATTCAGATTAAGAAAAGATGTATATGTATCCACCATAGCAGTCTGCTGCTGTCTGCCCAGATGACTTTACTGTCAGGTGCATGTCTCCTATCTCCCACTGAGAAACAATGGTGATGAAATTCAATACAATTGGATCTACTCTCTCACGTCTGTCATTCATCAGCTTTGTGAACGTACAGCTGTGTATGTCATGAAGGGGGGCAGCGGCTGCCAAGGAGACACAGTACTAAAATATTTAGAGTAGAGCTACTTCCGGTGCAAAGGGCATTGATCCACTCAAAGTGTCGTCTCTAAAGGCAGCATGAGTTGTATTTTTAGCAATTTGTCTATTTCTTTTAATCTTGTGACAGTTGACGTGAATAAAAACTTGTGGTATTAGGGGTGTGTGTGTGTGTGTGTGTGTGTGTGTGTGAGAGAGAGGATGTGAAATGTTGCTTCATGTCTTCTCTCAGCCAGAGAGATCCTTCTGTGGTGGTGAAACGTGGTATGGGTAAAGGTGATGGTGGTGAGGTGTGTGTTCGTTGTCATGGCTCCCAACACTGGAGCTGCCTATCTGGAAACAAATCACTTTGCTTACACTGTCACCACATTTCCACTAAATCTTTTTATTTTTATAGATTTGCATCCCAAAAAAGCTGCTACCTTTTGACCTGTTCTTATACTGTAATTGGCTTAATTCTATTTGTGTCTGTAACCACAATGACGAGGAAAATAAAATTAACAGACATTTATTCTGTGTACTTGATCACAGCTTAAAGGTTCAGTCTGTATTATTTGAGGAGTATCTGTTGGCAGAAATGCAATATAATATACATAACTATGTTTTAAGTGGTTTATAAACACCTTACATAATGAACTGTTTTTTTGTTACCTTAGAATGAGCCATTTCTATCTACATACAGGTGCTGGTCATATTAGAATATCGTCAAAGTTTTCAAAATTTTATTTCAGTAATTCCATTCAAAAAGTTAAACTTGTATAATGTATACATTCATTCCATACAGACTGATATACTTCAAGTGTTCATTCCTTTTAATTTTGATGATTATAACTGACAACTAATGAAAACCCCAAAATCAGAAAATTAGAATATTGTGAAAAGGTTCAATATTGAAGACACCTGGTGCCACACTCTAATCAGCTAATTAACTCAAAACCCTGCAAAGGCCTTTAAATAGTCTCTCAGTCTAGTTCTGTAGGCTACACAATCATGGGGAAGACTGCTGACTTGACAGCTGTCCAAAAGACGACCATTAACACCTTGCACAAGGAGGGCAAAACACAAAAGGTCATTGCTAAAGAGGCTGGCTGTTCACAGAGCTCTGTGTCCAAGCACATTAATAGAGAGGTGAAGGGAAGGAAAAGATGTGGTAGAAAAAAGTGTACAAGCAATAGAGATAACCGCACCCTGGAGAGGATTGTGAAACAAAACCCATTCAAAAATGTGGGGGAGATTCACAAAGAGTGGACGGCAGCTGGAGTCAGTGCTTCAAGAACCACCACGCACAGACGTATGCAAGACATGGGTTTCAGCTGTCGCATTCCTTGTGTCAGCCACTCTTGAACAAGACACAGCGTCAGAAGCGTCTCGCCTGGGCTAAAGACAAAAAGGACTGGACTGCTGCTGAGTGGTCCAAAGTTATGTTCTCTGATGAAAGTAAATTTTGCATTTCCTTTGGAAATCAAGGTCCAAGAGTCTGGAGGAAGAGGCACAGAATTCACGTTGCTTGAAGTCCAGTGTAAAGTTTCCACAGTCAGTGATGGTTTGGGGTGCCATGTCATCTGCTGGTGTTGGTCCACTGTGTTTTCTGAGGTCCAAGGTCAACGCAGCCGTCTACCAGGAAGTTTTAGAGCACTTCATGCTTCCTGCTGCTGACCAACTTTATGGAGATGCAGATTTCATTTTCCAACAGGACTTGGCACCTGAACACAGTGCCAAAGCTACCAGTACCTGGTTTAAGGACCATGGTATCCCTGTTCTTAATTGGCTAGCAAACTTGCCTGACCTTAACCCTATAGAAAATCTATGGGGTATTGTGAAGAGGAAGATGCGATACACCAGACCCAACAATGCAGAAAAGCTGAAGGCCACTATCAGAGAACCTAGGCTCTCATAACACCTGAGCAGACTGATAGACTCCATGCCACGCCACATTGCTGCAGTAATTCAGGCAAAATGAGCCCCAACTAAGTACTGAGTGCTGTATATGCTCATACTTTTCATGTTCATACTTATCAGTTGGCCAACATTTCTAAAAATCCTTTTTTTGTATTGGTCTTAAGTAATATTCTAATTTTCGGAGATACTGAATTTGGGATTTTCATTAGTTGTCAGTTTTAATCATCACAATTAAATGAAATAAACAATTGAAATATATCAGTCTGTGTAATGAATTAATATAATATCCAAGTTTCACTTCTTGATTGGAATTGCTGAAATAAATCAACTTTTTGATGATATTCTAATTATATGACCAGCATCTGTACACTGCAGGATCCCTTACATGGAAGTTGCCATGTTGCGCCGCCATGTTTCTACAGTAGCACAAACAGATAAACTACAGAGCAGTTGGGGTTTTTTTTGCCGTTTTAGTGATCTGCCATTTGTTCTTCATGTTATTTCTCTAGACTTGTAATGCATTTAGTAATTTTATTTTCCAAGAGCATTGTGTTGTCATGATTATTTGATTTGTAGAAGTGCTAAAAGCAAATGTATTTTTTTTTCATATTTTTTTATACTTTATTTTACTGCCGTTATATGATAGCAACAATGCAGACAGGAAACTTGGGGAATGACGCATAAGAATCAAACCAGGGAAATTGTGGTTACATTTATGTGTGTTAACAAGACGTGTTAAGTTTTAATTCTCAGTTGCATCTCCTTTGTAACACAACAGTCAGTGCCCTGAATGGCAAAACAAAGTGGCATTTGTGTAAAAATACTCTCCTCAGCAACACAAAAGACAGGTTTACGTGTAAGCATTTGGTGTACATGAATGCTAACCACCCTCTCTCCTTTTTTAATTTCAGGACTTCCTGATCATGTTCGTTCATCACCTGGCTACAGTTAGCCTGATCAGCTTTTCCTACGTCAACAACATGGCGCGAGTGGGGAGCCTTGTGATGTGCGTCCACGATGCCTCTGACTTCTTGCTAGAGGTCAGTGAGACTGACTGGTGACTGTGATCAAACAAAATTTTGATTTGAATTGTACTGAAATTACCATATTCTACTACTGTAACATTTTAGATTGATAAACACACAAAACTATAACTGATCCTCTCCACCTGGACCTTATATTATACTGTAAGTACCACTTTTCTGATGGCATAAAAGGGGAAGGTATATCCAATGACATGGACATGTATGCATGGGTATGATGCAATCTGAAATATGATAGTGTTTTTGTCAAATTAAGCACATCTGATTCTGAAACAGAAATTATGTCTTAAATGCTGATACACTAATACTAACTACAAAAAAAGGGAAAATATGGAACATAAAGGAACCTATGGCTACTGTAGATACATATTGTATAGTCAGCTTTTACATACAGTAGTTTCCTTTTAGGATATTGTTCAGTAACCTTATTGCGTCACATCAGTTGGTTTCTTGAACAATCAAGATGAATTGTTTAGTGTTTTCAGTCATTTCCCCTTGGCTGAAATCCAAACAGATTAGCATGGGCTCAGGAATTAGATAGGGCTGATGTGTGGTAAAAAATGTTGCTCAACACAAAACTCATCATGAACTTGAATCATTTTCTTTTCCTACAGGCAGCCAAGCAGGCCAACTACGCCAAGTACCAGCGGTTGTGTGACTTCCTCTTCATTGTGTTTAGTGTGGCATTTTTCATCACACGACTTGTTATATTTCCAATATGGTGAGTTCCTAGTGACACCTGCAACCTCAGAATAAATATTATAATTCCTACTGCAAATCATAATGTATTCATTTGTCATGCACATTGCAAATACCAGTATGTATTTTTGCAGCATAACTGTGTTTGAACTTTGTTTTTGTAGGCAAGTGCCTGCACAGAAAACATTATAATCCTACAGTGCTGTAAATTCAGTACATATCCTGTAGCTGAAATTTGTCACACTGGTCAGAAACCCACAACCTGTGCTCTAAAACATTGTGAAAACCTCCATGCTCATGATGTTTAGATAATAATGGCTTGTAAATCAGATGAGGCAATATCCAGTACACCTACAGTGTCTGACTGAGAGCAGTTTAGTTAGCGACTATTCCTTGATAGAGACTTGAAAGTTGAAGCTCAACCACTAGAGGGACAGACAATAGGGATCCTATCATTGGTGAAAGTAACCTGAGCAGCTATATTCAATGTCTTGATGTGGATGAGGGATAAAGCTAGTGTTGCCAGTGCAGCTACCTGGACTGAAATCCATACCTCTGCTGGGGGGTGTGGGTCTATTGCTCAACTGGATTTCAAGGAAGACATGACCTCACCAACCACTCACCTAACAAAATAGTAGAGCAATGTTACTAGCCTGCTTGGTTGCCATTGGCATCCAAATGGGTTTTATAGTCTGCACTGTTCCAATGAGCCTCATAAAGAAGAGTGCTGGCTGATGATGTGATTAAAGTCCCGCTTGACTACATTTTGCTCTCATTGGGAAAAGTGATTGCTTGAGTGTGTATGAGACTACAAAGTAAATATATACATCTATTTGTCTCCTTGTTTTCCAGGGTCCTGAACTCCACTATGTTTGAGAGCTGGGCCATAGTCGGGCCGTACCCATCCTGGTGGCTCTTCAACACCTTATTGCTGGTCCTCCAAGTGCTGCATATCATCTGGTTCTACCTCATAGGCCGTATAGCTGTCAAAGCCATGCTGCGGGGCAAGGTGGGTCACCAAACGGAGGTAGTGATTACTGGAATGTAGAGCTGAAGTAATTAGTTGATGAACAGAAAATGAATCTCCAACTAGTCTGACAATCATTTATAAGATTTTGATGAAAAAAATTACAAACGAACTAGTTCCAGCCTCTCAAATGTGAAGATATGCTGCTTTTCGTTGTTTTATGTGATTGGATTTCAAATATAACAAGACATTTAAAGATGTCCCTTTGGGCTCTCAGAAACTTTAATACATAGTTTCCACTATTTCCTGACATTTTGTAGACCAAATGATTCTTTTGTCAGTTATTTAAAGAGACAAGCGGCAGCATCAGTCAGTGATGAAACTCATCATTAGTTGCGGCCTTTCTGTATTGCCCTACACAGCCAAGCTATTCCTGCACAAGAGCAAGGTTTCTCCGCTACTAGAACGTCCTCTTCTGACAAGGTGTCTTTCGTTTTCTGGTGCAATCACGTGTTCGTTTCACTTCCGTATAGTGTAACTTCACGCGGTTTAGTGCAGCTCAAACTCTGTCCAGAGTGGCCTAGATTAAAATAAAATAATTTCACATGATTCAGAACGCTCCAAAGATTAACAATTCTCCAAAACCTTGGCCCCAAAAACATTAACTCCAAAACATTTGCAGGGACATAACAAGGGTGTTCAAATAATTTATGGGTAAATGTGTTTATAACAATTAGATGAGCGTTGGGAGAGTTATAAAAATACCAAATAAATATTTGTCCCAATCAGAAGGTTTATTGAAATGTACAACATGACTTCATGGCTTTTTTTTTGGTGAAGAATTTACTGCCTCTACACTCTTTTCCCAAGCTGTCTCTGACTGTGTCATTCTCTCTGCAGACGCCGTTTGTTTCCTCTCCCTCTGGAATGAGAGAGGGAGACCCTGTCTTTCTGTCTGTCTTTGTCCAGTGAGCCGCTCTTCACTACTCTCTCGCTTCCCTACGTTTGCTTTGTCCATTCGAGACCTTTTACCTTCCCTGTTTCTGGCTGTAAGTTTCTGTCGGCTCCCTTTTTGTTGTGATTCCTTTCCCGCACCTTGATTCTGTCTGTCCTATCAATTTCCATAAGGATTCAGCGTAGGTGGATTTACTTGGACAGCTGTTGGAGTAGATTAGCAATTAGAATCACTCACAAAGACAGCAGAAAGAGGAGAGTTGTATAATGATGAGAAATGTGGCAATACTGTCATAAATGTCAGGTATGTCCAACTGTTTTCGTTAGACAGGAGCGTGTTGAAACCTGTGACTGTGATGAGCACCGGTGAACACATTTGTGGGCTGTTTTTTTTTTTTTTTAAGAATTCTCATGGTTGTAACTTGTTTCAAACAGAGCACCAGTAGCAGACTGAATTTCAACATTAAGTTGCACTATAAAATACACCTGTCTTTACACTAAACCAGTGGTTCCAAACCTTTGTGACCTTTTTATTTTAAAGCAACATCTGCGTTAAGTGCCAAATTGCATAATTTTATTTTTTTACTTTTGTACTGCAGCTGCTGTTGCAAAGTACATACTGTTGCATGCAGTGTGCATACAATGTGTTACATACTACTTTGTCATAACTTTGCGCCTTGAACTTTGACCCTCTTGGTCATATTCATGCTGTGCAAAGGATTGTGGGTCAGATTAGCCAGAAAAGCAAACTGCAGTAGGACAGCCTGGTATTTTGATACTATGTATTGGGATCTACTAAATAGTTTTCTGATGTTCTAAATAGTACTATGGGTATAGGAACGCACGCAGTATCTCTCTGCGACCACTCGTCATTGGTTGCTTTTTCATTCGCTGTGAGCAGTTCAATCTAGAGCTGTACCCAAATGTTTTTCTTTATTACACCTTACCTACAATTGTGAACAACATATTATTCAATTCAATTCAATTCAATTTTATTTATATAGCGCCAAATCACAACAACAGTTATCTCACAGCGCTTTTCATAAAAGAGCAGGTCTAGACCATACTCTGTGATGATATTTACAGAAGCCCAACAGTTCCCACCAAGAGCAAGCACTAGGCGACAGAGGCAAGGAAAAACTTCCTTTTAAGAGGCAGAAACCTCGAGCAGAACCATGGCTCAGGGTGGGCGGCCATCTGCCTCGACCGGTTGGGGTGAGAGAGAGAGAGAAAGAGAGTGAAAGAGAGAGAGAGAGGGATGTAAGGAGAGAGAGAGGGGAGGGAGGCAGCCTACACAATATACACACAGAGGTACAGACAGCGAAGGTAATGTTGCTATAAACTAAATGAAAAATGGTACAGATATTTATAATAGTGTTAATGGTAACCATCATAATGTTAATGATTATAATAACAATAATAACAATAAGACTAGCAACAATAGTCGTTGCAGCAGGGGGTGTCGAGCAGGAACACGGGGTCAGCAGGTGACCCGCAGCCACAGATCCAGACTCCACAGCTCCAGAGCCAGAAAACCTGCAGGAAGTGATTCACTCTCCCACCCAGTTACAAGTACAGCCCAGTGCACCTGCAGAGCAACCACCTCCACGCTCAACTCTTAGAACCGCTATGAGTCTCATCTTTTCACACTGAACAGTAGAGGTTGTACCAGCGTCTGGCTCAAAAGTACTTCAGTCAACTTTGCGAACAGTCAGCTGACAGCGTCACTTTGACACGTGCTTTAAAAATATTATGCAAATAAAAGAGAGATCCAAAAAGGCCCAAATTATTAATTTTTTTTTTTCTGAGTCTGTTTTAAAACAAGGCTCATAAGTACATTAAGGAGCTTTTATAATTAATTGTTCCTCATTCTTCATAATGGCCCCAAAAGAGACCCTTCTTAGTGTGACCCCTAAAGGTGGAGGTCGGATGATAAATGACCAAAACTTTTCACATATGTATATACACTTATGTACATGTGGGCATGTGAGTATTCTATCACTTCAAAAAAAAGTGAAAGTATCTTTCACATTGACAATCACATTTTTACATATTCCACTTAAAATGACTGACATTGTTTAGCCGTGTTAGTAATTGGGACAAAAGGTATTTCAAAGATTGACATTTTTGTTTAGATTACCTATATATTTTTTTTACTTCTTTAGAGTGTAGTTGTTTCTCTCAAGTATAGTATAAAAGTGTATAAACATCCTGTTTCCCCTCCATCTGCCTTCTAGGTGTGCAACGATGTCCGCAGTGACATTGAGAGCAGCTCGGGTGAAGAAGAAGAACCTCACACGCCCCCAGAAGGCCTCAAGGCTTCTCATATTCCCAAGGCAGAAAACGGCACTAATGGCCACTGTGTTGCTACCAAAGCTCGAGTGCAGAATCACAACAGCTTGTGACATGTAGCCTGAAGCTGGGAGCCCCCTGCAGTTCGTCCCTCACTTCTACAAGAGCTTTGTTTGTCTTACGACATGCCCCTGACGTCCAAGGCTCACACCCACACACATACACACCCACCCAGTCTACCATTACACAGACGGTGAGTGCGCACAGATTCATGCGTGGTTGCACTGATGGTGGATATACAGACACTGACATCTGCTTTGAAGAGCCCTGTAACGACATGTAGGACACCACTCAAGCGGTGACACGTAAATGCTGGATTGATGAAATCAGTTGAAGCAAGCAATTTGCATAGCCTTGTCTTTCAAATGACGAGATTCACTTTGTGCTGAGTGTGGCTGCCGATGTTGATTGGTTTCAATGTTCTCTCCCAGTTTTATTGGCCAGATGAACTTGATTCTTTTTGTCTTAAGGATTAATTCACACTGGATCACAAACAGCTGCTACACTACTTTTCAAACTTTGAAGTTCAATCAGTGATGTGACAGGTGTTATACATTATAATTAATTTATAGCTGTGGTTTTATCAGCTCTTAAGAAGAGCCCCTGCTCTGTGTGTCTCACCAGAAGTACAACACACCTGAAAGTTTTAATACCAGCAGTCTCTGCCTTTTGCGATTGTTGTGGATTTACCCTTTAACCATGTTGTTTGACTTGTTTATTTCTGTCTTTTTTTTTTTTTTTTTTTTTTTACTACATCCAAGACCAAATGTGTTTTAAATAGTTTTATGACACTGCCTATAGAAGAATCCAGGTATGAGGACTATACTAAATGTCTGGTAGTGAGTTCTCATTTGAGTGCCTTGTAAAACAAAATGTATTTCTAAATATATTCTGTTGTTGAAAACATGTCTTGTTGCAGTTTATAAACACTACACTGTGGTTAAAGGCATTTAATATAATACAAACAATTACAGCCAATTAATTGCAGTTACTCCTGAAACAGTGCCACTCACAACATGGGTTTTACTCAGGCCATTGATGCAAATATGTTCTTATTTGCCTTTTATAAACAAAACATCTTCCTTGTGAGGGCACAGTACCCTCACAATGAAGTCACACATCACAATGTCCTGAGAAGAATAAACATCTTCATGATTTAGCGATTGACAAAAAAGAGGGGTAATGGGAAATGTCCACATCTGTGCAAAAAGAACAGCAGTCCATCTGACATCAGTCTTTGATGACTTCAGGATCCTGGTTTTCTGCCGCCAGTTTGAGCTGTTTTTGCTTCTGCAGGTAGTTGTATCCTCGCAGTGCACACAGATACCCTCCATATGCTGTCAGCAGCATCATCGAGCCGGAAAAAGCCCGATAGCCGATGTCAGCCAGCCGCTTCCCAGACACCATGATGAGGATGCTGAAGGAAATGGGAAGTCAGAGCAGGTTCAGCAGCCAAATAGTATACAGCAGTGATGGAAAGTTACTAGTGATGTACTACAACATTTGGCAATATGATGTTGTAGATTTAAGATGTTTGATTTTGCTTAATTTACAGGTTAGTTACGACATTTTGTCTTGTTATTTTATCCATTAACTGTTTCTCAAGTTATTTCCCCAAAACATTTACCATTTTGTGATACGTATCAATACTGCAATATAATTATACACACATTTTTTACTTACATTTATCTAGCAGTTGTAGTTATTACTGTTTTATAGATTAAATATTTTACATGCACAATATACATGATGCATTATTATAAATAAAACTTTGTATTAATATATAGAATTGTTAAAAGGTAGCTCTACTTCATCCAGCTACAATACTACAATATTGTTTACACATCTATTAGGCATCAGTAATTTTAAAACAACTCTGAAAGGCAAGGTATGTGTATTTGTATAGCACATTTCAACAACAAGGTAATTCAAAGTGCTTTACATAAAACATAAAAGCAACAGGGAAATATAATAAAGTTTAAAAGCAACATAGGGAACTTTAAAAACACATTAAAAAATAATAAAAGTTACAGTGCAGTGTACAAACAGGGTTAAAAGCGTTAAATGGAAAATAAAAACAGGCTGAGGGCTTGAGCAAATAATTGAGTTACAAAAGGGATGACAAATACTTGAATGAAATACTGTACTTTTACTCAAGTTCATCTAGAATGCTGTACTTGGACTTATAACTGAATGGTATAAATCTGAATAATTCTTGCACCGCTGCTGTACAGGACTTGCATAACGTTACAGTTTAAGTATTGTAAAAATCCACATATCGTTACGATTTCAACATCAAGCATAAATGGGGACAACTCTTCCTGAGACAAAATGAAACAACACAGGAAATGTGACTTTATGAAAAACACTGACAGTGAGGGTTAAGTTGCTGCTATATTCGACACACACCTGCTGTGTTCTCATTTATACGGTTATTAATCTGCATTACTGATGAGGATTCGTCACAGTGGCAGATCACACATGTCTGTAGCAGTAAGTGCTGATGTGGAAACTATCATTTATTAATCAACAGCACCTCCTTGTGCGTCTGATTTTATATCCATAAAGCCGAGTACTGGTGCCTCTAAGTTAACTTACAAGATAAAAGATTTCCCCTGTGAAGTTATCACTACAAGCTAGCGACCAGTAGGTCAGATGTGAAACGTTATGCTTACAAGTTGGCAGTTGGCACATTGTTTTACTAACTTCGGGGGAAATCACGTTTATGTCTCGTCTTCACTCACTGTAAATATTTGTTGTATTTTCTTACCTTTTATTTTAAAAAGCGATGGTTATCGTAAATGTCCTCAATGTCGGCATGCAAAGTTAGCAAACTAACCTTAGCTTTCATAAGGTAGGTACGGAAACCCAGAGTGAACTTTATCTTACCGCTGACAGAATTCGGAGCAAAGTTGAAGAGCACCACCTACAGACCAGGAGGATTTAAAAAATAATATGAAATACAATTGTGTCAGTATATTATTTGTACTATATGTTAACAGTGTTAACTGTATGCGGCTAATATGAACAGTCAAACCCAACAAGTATGGTTGTCTACTTCCCTACTACAGCCCTACAAAGAGTAAAATAATTTATGTGCCCCTAAGTTTCCTGAAGTAAATGTACTTTCATACTATTTTGAAGTACATCAACTACTTGAGTATTTCCATTTGATGATTTTTCGCATTTTTACTCCACTACAACTACTACTACTACTGCAAATATCTTAAATTAACTATTAACTTATGCTCTCACTTAATGTAGTGAGTTAAAAAGGACAATATGTCTCTCTAAAATGTAGTGGAGTACAAGTAGAAAGTGGCATGAAAAGAAAGTAAAACTAAGTAGACATTCCACCACTGCTTTTGAGGTACATCTCGCTGATACTACTTCTGTACTTTTTATTAGAAATTTAGTAATATTTTGAATGAACTTGTAAATATATTTTGTAGTGGTTCATTGTTTAAGGATCTGAATAACGTTAACTTTTCTGTTGTATGTTACCTATCGAGTTGTGCTACTTGGGCATTCAAGCGTGGCCACGTTTGCACCCTTGTTGTCGGGCATGGAGTCCAGACAGTGGCTGATCGTGAGCAATATCTAATAAAAAACATTAGAATCTATCTATCTATCTATCTGAATACACTACTCCGGAACTCTTACATAAAGAGGTTATAATATAGTATTTCAACATGCTCCCCATCTCCTTACAGTAATGGAGTGGGGCATTATAAAATTAATCTGTAATGGGAGCATTATTTGATAGGAGATATTAGTCTATCAAAATACGCTGCAAACCCGTGGTCATATCAGCTGTCGTCTGATTTCTGTTGCGCCTAAAGCAGTGTTATTATGGTAAGGACGAGGTGCGAGTGAGCCGAAGGTCCTGAAAGTTACATACGACAACGATGATGTCACCTATTAAGGAATTGTTTTGGTGAAAGGAAATGTGTCTTGTTTATTTTCGCTGATGGAGGGTTTTTAGAGTATCATTTCTCAAAGTTGGTAAAGTAAAATGTTGTGCTATATGTACCAGTAATAGTAGATGACACTAACAAGTAGAAGATATGAAATAGGTGGTATCACCTATTAAGGAACTGTTTTGGTCAAAGGTCAAAGTTCACAGAAATGTTAACTGTCCATTTGGTTTTTGCTGTCAGAAGGGTATTTTAGAGTGTAATTTCTCCAAGTTAGTACATTCAAATATCTCCCTCTCTTTTTAAAAGTCTACCTACACAAATGGTTTGGCGTCACTTAACTAAAACTAAAGCAACCACAAACACAGCAGTTCATTCTTTGACTGCAGTCCGTGTTTCCATCCGGTAGTATTTTGAAGGCGCACACACTACAATGGCAACATGTTCGATACGGAGCGATTCTGTTGATGAAATAAATGATCCAGGAGCCGCTCCTTATGGCAACTTTATAAACTATTACACCTTCAATCCACCGGAGAACCGCTTGAGTCTGGTTCCAGCCACACTGCTACAGGATTTAGGTTACAGCGACGACCATCAGACCACACTGATCCTGGACGTGGGATGTAATTCGGGGGTATGTGATTCTAGGACACAGAGGAGGACACTCTCTTTAAACAGTGCTTTTTAAAATATGTATTTATCTGTTTGGACTATCCCCTGAATATATTTTAAGTAGAAAGCTTTCCATAACCAAAACTAATTTGTGTGTTTTTTTAAAAAAAAATTCTTTTACCCATTTTATGTTTGTTTTTGTTTTTTTACACACTTGGCCACGATGGCTATGGTGATCCAGGATTGCATAAGTGGCATCTTTGGGACTAATAAATCTTTCATTTTGAATAAAATGAGAGGTTTGAGAAATATGTCCATATAACAATTATTTTGCAGTTAATCCTGTCCTCTTTTCTTCCCCCCTGTGAATGGCAGGAACTGAGTGTAGCCTTTTACAAGCATCTGGTGCAGGAGGGTGTGTGCAATGAAGGGTCAGACAGGAGGAAAGTTAGGCTCCTGGGCTTTGACTTGGATGAGATCCTCATTCAGCGGGCTCAGCAGACCAACCCTTTGCCCGCCAGCATCTCCTTCATCCCTCTGGACATCACTAAAGACACAGACCAGCTGCAGGACTACCTCATGCACCACGGCTGCTCTCACTTCCACCTGTGTCTGTGCCTGGCTGTCACCATGTGGGTCCACCTTAACCACGGAGACTCCGGGCTGCTGCAGCTGCTCTCTCGCCTGGCCTCCATCAGCCAGCACCTCCTGCTGGAGGCACAGCCCTGGAAGTGCTACCGCTCCGCGGCCCGGCGGCTGAGAAAGCTGGGACGCACAGACTTTGACCACTTCAAGACCCTGAAGATCCGTGGGGATGTGGCAGAACATGCTAGGAAGCACCTGGAGAGACACTGCGACATGGAGCTCATCCAGAGCTTCGGCAGCACTGCATGGGACCGGAAGTTGCTACTCTTCAAAAGGAGATGAGGCCAAGGGTCCACGAGTTTCCATCTGCTGCACACGAGCTGCAGGGACATGATCAGGAAGATAACACCAGAGAAAGCAATGTGGAGAATGGGAGAAAAGTAACATTGAACTGATCAACATTAATCAGCAACGATGACAGCATGCTATCATTAACAGTTCATCACCTTTCAAGAAAAAAATGCCCTAAATTAGCTGGTTCTAGCTTTTCAAATTGTGAAGATTATTATTCTATTATACTGTATAGACTATTGATCAATGAATTGAAAAAAAAAAATGGCACTGACGAATCTATTATGGCTCTCAGGGCTGCAACTTACAATTTTCATTAATCTGACGAATCCTTTCTCAAGTACTTGTATAGTGTAAAACATCTGAAAATAGTGAACAAGTCTGAGGTGTCGTTTTCAAAAAATAAACTGAACATTTAATAGGTTATCAAAGTGATTGCCAATTTGACTAATTGTTGCAGCTCTAGAAAGGAAAACTGGGGGCTGTAGCACATTTAAATGGATATTTTGTTGCAAAAACTGTGATTATCATCTTGATAAGTTTGTAATATCTGCCTTTTTATTGAGATGTTTGCCAGCACCAAAACTATTTGGTTTTTTATTTTATTTTATTATTATTTTTTTATGTATGAGATCATTACCATGGTGATTAAATGATAAAACACAACATTAATTTTCATCATTTTAATTACAGAATACTAAAAATAACATTACATAAAATGTCTTTTTAAAAGAAACCATTGAATATTACAAAGGTTGTAAATTTTGTAAAGTTAGGATATAAAATCTTTGAACAGTGGTGCATAATTGAAAAGAAAAATAATTTTCATAAAATGTATATATTAACTGTTCTACTACATAAAAAATGAGATGGACACAAATTGCAGACAGACGAGATGAGTAGACACTGCCATTACCGCAGTGAGCTCTCCTTTCGAAGGAAGAAAGACTTGAGATGCACAGCACACACCACAATCAGCTTAAGTTCTCAAGTTATGTCTGTTCCAAAAAAAAAGAAAAATGGGGGAGAGGGCGGGAGAAGGGGTTACCATTTACAACAGAGGAAAACCAACAAGCTCGAAACACTACAAAAAGTGACTTGGTGGCTGCTCCCAATATTCACACACAAACATCTCGATGGGTGAAAACCCGACTAAACTGGCCTTGGTTCCATAAACACATACCGTTTTCCACAGGTTTAAGCTGTACAAAGAGTTTTGATTAAACCTCATACTTAATAAATCATTCCCCCAATACAGGGAAATAATGATCAGCTTTCAGTTTCGTAACACAGCCATTCCTATATCCTACTGTACAACTGGTCGGTGAGATCCACTGAAAGCTACCATGGTCACATAAATCAATATCAGGAGGTCAACCTTAAGTAACTGGAATAGACTATACACAAGGGAGGGGGGGGGGGGGGGGGGGGCACATGCATATTCCAACAGTGTGCTTGCCTTCTTCCTCTTCTTTCTGACATTTACATCGCCTTGTGTCACATCATGAGCCCTTGTTAAGATGTTTTTCTCAACACCACAGAATCGGTCAAAAAGAGATCACCCATCGAGGACATTCAGAGCCTCTTTGAACCGTGGATATCCCTCTACATGTACGACACACTGGCCAGTCATGTCCACACAGAGGTATTTCATTAGTCTCCTGCCATTTGAGAGACGCGTTGTGTCACATTTTTGGTAAACAGACGCGGGGGGCGGGGGGGTTAGGTGTTCTTTTAAAACATCAAGATATGGTTTTAATCAAGAGTTACGCCCAGTGGCACAATCACTGTTCCTTCTGTGCGGTAGTAGTGGTTTCATTGGCCCATGAAGATCAGGTGGAGAAATGCAGAGAAAGAGTGAGTGAGAGAAGAGAAGGTAAAAGGGAAACAGACAATAACCCAGAGGACATCTCAGAAGACACAGGACATCTGAGACAACGGAGGCATTTAGGAGAAAATGAGGCGAGCGACACCAGCAGAGCTACTTGGTTTGGCTGGTCTGTTGCTCAAGACAGCTGGAGTATTTGTCACCAGGGATCCAGGAGCTGATCATGTGTATCATGTAAGCTAATAATGCTGTTTAGGTTCAGATGAGTCCCCCTGAGTTAGTGCACACGTCAGTCGGGCAGGCCTCGCCCGCTTGTTCGTTAAGAAATCCACAAAATGAAGCATTAAGAAAAAAAAAAAATCGATTCACCAATTTAATATCAAGCTTACAATTAGCTTTGGGGAGGAGGGGGGGGGGGGAAGAGAGAGAGAGAGAGAGAGAGAGAGAGAGAGAGAGAGAGAGAGAGAGAGAGAGAGAGAGAGAGAGAGAGAGAGAGAGAGAGAGAGAGAGAGAGAGAGAGAGAGAGAGAGAGACCATTGTAGTTTTGGGGAAGGGTTGAGTCAATGTTAGTGTGGAGGAGGGTGGGGGGGAGAAGTTCAGTAAATACGCCAGCTCCCACAAAGTGGTGCAGCTAATCTCTTGAGTCCTGCTCATTTTCTGAAAACTCTGAGAAGTATGCAGTTTGTGTTTTGAATGCAATGTGTGCAATGTAGTGCCCAACCAGAGACTGGGTTGTGTTGTTGGAGCATGCTCATACTTTTATATAGTTAATCTGAACATCTGACATGATTCTCAAGTGGTCGTTGGTGGAGGACTGCCCAGCAGGCGAGTTGGTTGGGCATCTGGTCAGGTGCTGGTGTTGCAGGTTACTCTGACTGTGCATCAGTCAGACAGACAAGTAGGTAGGTAGACAGGCAGGTGGGCTGTAGTGGGACTCAGGAGCTGAGGTTAAATCAGGGGAGCCGTGTCCATCAAGCCTTTGTTGGGGTCCAGGCTGGCAAAGAAGCGGACGTCCCGGTCCTTGTCCGACTGCAGAGCCATCACAGTCTCTTCCAGCTCGTCAGAGTAGGCGCAGCCAGGCTCCTTGAAGTATGCTGAGCAGAAAACACAAGACTCAGTTAAAGTTGAAGAAAAAAAAATAATAAAATAAGTACAAGCAAGCTGGTTTAAGGTGTGTAATAAAGAGAAGGGACAGTGTGTGTGTTAGAGGATAAAGCTGGAACGATTCTTTAGGACTTTTATTGTAAGCAAATCCCATGAAAAGACCAAAAACCCCAAATTAATTGACTTTACTAACTGGTGTTGTTATCCAAAGCCCGATACAGCTTATTCCTCTGTGCCACACACCTCCATTGTTGTCCAAAAACTATTAAAACCACATATGTGAGCCACACTGTTACACTGGGTGACATATTCTTTCATCATAATGAACATCTATGTACTGTAGATTATTTTGAGCTGATGAAACTATATGTGACGAGATCAAATTGTGACGAGATCTCTCGTCAGGTAAAAAGCTGTCTCGCGAGACTCACGCAATTGATATTTTTCACATGCTGTCAGTCAAGCCACATTAATTTTCCCAGGCAGTGAAATACAAATGTATAACTGATAAGATTCTCGTGGGAAGACTCGTGTGCTAATCAACTTCGCCCAGCTAGTGGCACACCGGCGTACGCCCCAATAGTAATCAACCGCACAGTCTGAGTCCAGACAGCTGTGACGAGAGGAAACGTAGCTGGTAGAGTTTTGCAACAGAAACATCTAAAAACTGAAGCGCAGCCTGCTCTGTTGGGGACTGTGAGCTTCAGTTTATCTGAGCAGCTGAAGTAAACGTGTTTGTGGATTTGTGGTGAGTCTTCTGCCTGATCACAAGTGTTTCAATTACTTTCGGTTTCACATGCAACATGCAGTGCCAAACTGCGTCGGTCAAGCGGTCTGAATGGGATAACGTTACTTCCAGCGGATTAATAAGGTAATGCACAGCAGAGTAAAGGGCAAGTTTGCTTCTCATTAAATGATGTTGTTAGTCTCTTAATATGACTTTTTTCTGGACACGTCAGAGAACACGTGAGAGATTCTGATGTGCAGAGTTCAAGTTTTGAACATGAGCAGAAAACCTGCTGAAACACAGCTATTAAAGTCCAGGAGTTTGTTTGGGGGAGTAACCTCTTTAAATGTGGCACCTTTTCACCTCAATGATAAATTTTTATTCAGTTACAAAGACACAGAGGAGGAGGGAAGACTAAAGCCTAGTTCACACTACACGATTTTTAGCCCGATTTGCAGGTCAGAGTGCTCGGCGACCGTCAGGCTGTGATTGGAGGGTAAATCAGCGGTCGATCTGCGGTCGCCAGTCATTGTGTGTGAACTACACAACCACACATCAAAACGGCTCCCCAACACATCACTGGCTGATCGCAGATGCCAGCCAGATATCTACCATGCCAAATATCTAGAAGAGTCAGCCGACTCTATATTCACATACAGCCAATGAGAGAAGGCAGCTGGCAGAGCAGGCAGCTACTGTTTCACTGCAAAACACTTATTACTCACCTCCAGCTCTCTCTGTAGCATGGGCGATCCCTGCTACCTGCGTGTGCTAATCCATTCTGTCACCTATATTCTTTGTCTTTATAATTGCTATATTTATAATAACAAGCAACAGCTGTTTCGTGTGTAGGTTCGCGTCATTTCCCGTTTCACATTTCACGTGTGTTTTCTTGACAAAATTTGGTTTGGAGACCAGCGTCTGGTGACACAGCCGTTGTCAGCTCGCGTAGTGTGTGACCTCCTGTCACCGATAAGTCACGTAGTGTGAACGCCACAACAACTTCAAGACTCCCGTCCCAAAATGGCACATTGTGTAGTGTGAACAGCGCGGACATCAGCCAACACTGAAAGTCATGTAGTCTGCACGAGCCTTAAATCATGACTCAACAGGGATGATAGCCTATTCCATGAGAAAAGTTGATCTACAGGAGAAACAGATCTGTAAGCAACACAGAATACCTGAGAGCTGCACTGCATTATATTCTGTTACAGTTAGGCTATATATTTTGAATTGTCACCTACCCCCTGAATTATGTGTTTATCTTTAAGAAAAAAAAAATCCCCATAAACTGGTCCAGAAAAATTTCATACAATTCAGCATTGAAGATTTCTTAAGAATAGTGTTAAGATCTCGTGAACCCAATCTCAAATCTCGTCTCATGTGTTAAGTGTCTCGTCACATCCCTAATATATTGAGAGACTTACTGACACAATGCTAGTGTTGTTAACAACAAAAATACAGTATCGTCTGCTTTATCCTCTAAAGACAGTATAAATCATTTAGTTTGTGTGCATTTTACCTTTCTCCATGACACTCTGTCGTAGAGCCTTGGCCACTAGTACGCGGACATTGGCCACCGGGTCTGAGGAGAGGCTGAGCAGGCTAGGTAAGAGGTGCTGGCTAAACTGCTCCATGGCCATGCAGTCCTCCTCCACTACAGCCTACAGAAAAAATAAAGACACAGTAACACATACAGTGTACAGGCAGGCTGGTGTTAAAGACAGCTACAGCAAACACAGGAAGAAGAAAATCAACAGGCAGTCGTGAACCATCTAGTCAGACAATTGACAGGCTCATGAGCAAATCATTTTTCACTACAGTATTACTGTAACACATAGCTGGAGACCTTAAAAGCTGTGTTTTTAGTAAGAAATTTATAGGAAATGTCATTAATAATGTTGCTATTTCATTTCTGTTTGCTAACAGTAGCTCAACCACCTGAGAAACAATCAAAGACGAACACAGCTGTCTGTGGAGTTGAAAAACAGTTGAAAAGAATGCAGGTGCAGCCCATTTCAGCAATTTCGGCCATGTAGCGCGAGATAGAAGCCACAGACCTGGCAGATGAAGGCAAATGCCTGCCGCCCCACCCACTTGGGACAGTGGCAGAACCTGACTGTGAGCTCGTTGATGAAGTTCAGGCCCAGATCATCGGCCCTACATGCATACAGCTTCTGGAGGATCTCTACAACCTGAGAACACAAAAGGTGATGACGCACTTAAAAAAATGAAGGTTTTAAACTGCAGTTAATGTGCAAAAAATGATGTGTTTGAAGTGGTTAAAAATTCCGTTCAGAGGCAGACATTGGACTTTTCCATGGAGTCGTGGACAGATCCAAAAACAGAGTAAGAGAATATGAGCAAAAAAAATATGAGGTGAAGAGTTGAGATGCTGTCTCCATTAGCTACAATGATTGCTACATGGCCTGAAGATTTCACTCTGGGTTTCAAGGAAGCTCAAAATTTTGAGAAATATGCTTCACTTTCTTGCCGAGTTAGATAAGAGATCGATACCACTCATCACTGTCTGTTTTCAATATGAAGCTAGAGCCAGCAGCTAGTTGGCTTATATCTTATTTGTTTAATAAGCAAGAAAACAAGGTGTAATAACAACCACAACATTTCTTAGAAGGGTGTGGTAACTTCCTGGAGCTGCGTTATAAAAAGTTTCCTCTACATAACTTGTCTCCAGCCAAGGTAACATGATCAAATACAACAATCAGTGAGGACATTACTTCATCACATACACACAGCACTGAACCTTATCCATCAGTGGGACTCATTTCCCATTTGTTGTAAATCATCTCTCACAAGTTGACAATTGTTGGTCCCTCCAGCTGCAAAAAAAACCCAAACATCTTTAATACTGTACACTCACCAATTTGTATGAAATCCACCTGACCTCTGAGACTTTGTCAGAGCAGAGTGTAAGCGCTATCTGTCTGAGGTAGTCATACACATCGTAGTGGCTGTACAACTCTATGATGAGGATCAATTGCCTGGAAGGAGACAGAGAGACGGCACTTCAGTCAGGCAAACAGCAGGGTTACGTAAACTTTTCCTGTAAATAGCTATAAAATATAGTAAATACAAAAGACCAAAATTAAATTAACTGCAATTTTGAATATTCTATTATGGACTGAAATAAGGAAATTTATCGTTTAGGTGATGCTGACAAATTAATTGCAAAATTAAATCTAACCCATATGCAGTGTTGTAAGAGCCAAATTCAGCCCTGCCATAGTGTCTCATTGATTGTCTGGATAGTACAGTCTGTTCAAATGTAAATGTAATTAGTTCCCGACTGGAAGAGGAAAAGGAGACATACTCTGCCAGCTCATATCTGAATCTCCAGTTGCGACTGTTGTCTGTCACCATGAACTCCTGCAGCTGGTACAGATATTCTCTCCTCTTGTCTGCGTGCAGCAGCTGCAACAAGATGATGCACATGAACCTGATTAGTGATCAGTAGAGCAATCGATCCCACTGTGATTTTCTTCTTTAACTGGAAAACAAACCTCTGTCTCCTATCACAACAATAACATTGCTGAAATGTAATGACCCAAACTGAAACATACTAGGCTCCTGCTCTGTAATGCTCAAACAATATGAAACCAGACCTAACCATGTAATCATCTTCTTTGGATCAGCAGCATAGAAATCTATAATCTCACCTTGAGGAAGTCATAGAGGTGTTTGAGCACGCCAATGCGGACCTCGTCCAGGTCTTTGAGGAAACCGTTGAAGATGGGCACCAGGTCAGCGGCTGTCAGCTGGTCTCCCAGGATAACCGCCAGCTCGTGGATGGAGAAAGCCAGCGTACGCCGCACCTTCCACTGAGAGCGGGAAGAAAAGGATTATAGCACCAGTCATGGGCAAGCGTCTCAAAAATAGTTTATAATTGGGTGATGTTTCTCTGAGAAACATGGCATTTATCTGAATCCCTGCAGTGACTGGTCAGAAATTACAGCTGTACAATGCAATGCTGTTATGCTAACAATGACAGTCCGTGCTGTGATGAAGTCATGAGCAACAGTGTGACTGAGCGACGCCACGTTGTCTCTGCTGCTGTGAATTGAAGCAACGTTTCCCCTTGGTACATTTCCCTTTCCTGCTCGCGCCCTCCAATGTTACACAAGTCAAGCCAAGGACATCACTAAAACAATCAGGCTGTTGTTGTGGATCAGTTTCTTATTAACATGGTTCAGAGAAATTTCCTGCCCCTCACTCACTTCATTACCTAGAAAGAAGTCTCCTCAGTCAACTGCTCCTGAAACTCAGTGACTATCCATTATTACAAATGCGAAGAAGCATGAGGACAACATCAAACTCACACAAAGATTACAACTAGGGCTGGGCAATATGTATCCAATTATTCAGGTATCATCATCATTCAAGTATCAATTTATGAGCTATGTGGCAGATAACCATCTCGTCATGAGTTATTCGTTGCATATATATATAAGTTATTTCTGCATTTACATGCTGGAGACCATATATGAGCAAAAAAAACTTAGGGGACTTCAGAATCTACAGGTGACAGGAGTCTGATTTGTAAAGATATACAATCTACTGTGATGCACCTTGAAAAAGGCCAGAGAGACGCTGGCAACAGCTGAAGCAGTAAGACTGCTAAAGGGAGACTGGGAGAAGATAAGGGAGGTTTGGGTTTGGCTCGCTGGCCATTTAACGTTAGCTGTATCGGTGCCCTTTGTTGTTCAACATGTTCAACTTTTCACAGAGCCAATGTGCTTTTCAGTCACTTTTCGTCAACCGACCAATCACAGCCTGGATCCAGCCGTGACATTAAAAAGTTTTTGACGTGCTACAGCAAACCATTAAATGTTGAACAATATGATTATTGACCAGTTGGTACTTAGCATTAACAAATTAGAGACCAATGTAGAGCCTTTTGCCTGCACAAGGATTAAATAAAAAAAACAACAACACATAAATGAAACTGCTATAACTGTTTTTAATACTCAACAAGTGTTAAAAAAGTATATTATTATATGAAATTCTAAAGAATGTAGTATTTAATATTTATTGTAATACTAACAGTAAACTATTAACTAAGCATTATAATCATCTACACTCATGTACAGTTCCTCTCTCACAGATGTACATTGAGCCGGTGCCAGTGTGCCAATATTTGCTGCTTCTAGCCGCCTCCTCTGTAGAGCAACACGCTCCCTTTGTTCGGTTGTACTTGTTATTGTTAAATATTGTTTAACTTTGTTCAAGCTGAGAAAAAACACATTTCAAAATGTCAGTATTTCACACATTCCTTGATAATTAAGCAAGTAGACTCATAGTACCATTTGTTCCATTATAATCGAATTACAAATTGCAATATTGTCCACAATAATCGCAATATGACTTTTTCCTCCAAATCATGCAGCCCTACACCTGACCTATTGGAATAAATGGCCATCAAACAAGGCTGCCACCAGAAGGCTCATGTATGAACCGTTGAGCAGAGTGCTCCCACTATCACAAAATAAGAGATCTTGTGTGTAGAAATTCTCCACCACACCAATGAGACACTTTCCAACATCTTAGGAGAAAATCTAGCTCTACAAAATATCCACTCTAGCCACAACACACACAACACACAAGTCTCCTCATTCATTCACACGAGTTTGTGAATTTATGTTCTAACTGACTGTAGTGTTAAAATGGTTTTATCTGTTATCTTGTGATTATCTATTTAGTTTATTGCGTGAAATGTAATTATTCAATAATATCTAATTTAGCTTTGGCAGCTATATAACATTCATGCCAATAAAGCTTCTTTGGATTTAGGTAATTTGAATAAGCTTCATGGCAGAGATTGCACAATGCATTTCCTGAAAGCTAAAACAATAAAATCAAGAAGTTTAATAATTCATCCACTGAAAATGCAAGACACTTCTTTAAGGAATTAAAAGGCTAAATTGAAATACACGATTATCTATAATTCACCACATGGTCTTGGTAAAGCATAAACCTCTGCTACCACAGCCGTTTGCTCATTGGTGTATTGGCTTAGATTTTCCTACAAAACATCACTGTTAAGCATTCTACTTCAAGATGGCTCAATTCGGAACCACCACATTAGTTCTGGTTTATCATTTTCTTGTTGTATTTTGCCATGTGGTTCAACACTCATTTTGGATTGAAACAGCAAATCTAATCCCAAATTACTCATAACTTCCCACTTCTCTGCCTACCTGCACATCAGTAGCGAGGGTTTCATATGTGTCCTTCAGGCAGTGCCAGTTCTGTCGTCCCAGCGTGAGTGCTACACCCGGCAGGCTGAAGGCACAGTGTTTGGCTATCTCCGTATCCACCGTCTGGGCCCGGGCCGGGTCTGTCATAGAGAGGTACTGATCCAACAGCTGCTGGGGGATGACATTCTGGGGACAAGAGATTATAGAGTTTGATGATCCTAGAGAAGGGATGCACAGGCAGGAGGCATGTTTCTGCCGATTAATACCAACTGTAAGGTTTTGATCAATATTTCTCGAATGTATGATGGAAGTGCTGACTGACCTGGATCTTAGGCTTATCCTCAAACACTGGGCTGTGAGCAGTGTCTTCCTTTCTCTCCGCCTCCACACTCTCAATTAGTTCAGACTCCTTAGGAAAATACAAATCCACATGCCCCATTAGGGAACAAGCGCATGTCTCCTTAAAGAAGCAAACATTTGTTGTCACTGACTCTTCTTATTTCTCCGTAGATGCACAAGACCTTTAGCTGGATTTAAGGCTGTGCATTATGGGGTTACAGCATAATCAATTCAATTTGAAGGAAGTAAAGCTCCACTAAAATAAAATAAAAACTTACTGCAGGTCCATGACTTTGGCATTAACTGAGTTGCGAAGGTGATGTTTTTTTCTCTTCCAGCACACATGGATGGAAGGCCAGTGTACTATACGACTACTATTATACAGTATGTAGCTATTATAGTAAAAAGTACGGGCACTGGTATGTGTGGATATATATATATATATATATATATTATAACTGTCCTTTTATTCCAAAAGTTGTAACGAAAGCAAGGGAAATCTATAATAAAACTATGGAGGGCAGGGGTGGATGAACCCAGTTAAAGAGTAACTGCACATATGGGATGCTCTATGAATTAAAGCGAACACGCCCGCAACAAGGTTGGGGGTTTGACAGGACCATTGCGCAAAAAAAAAAAAAAATCACAGATAAAAAGAAATGGTGATGGCACCAATCAGGATTAGGATCTGAATCAAAATCTAATAAATTGTGGTAATGTTTGCTTTTGTTTTCCAGAACTCCAAGTCAAATCTTATCAAAATAGGCTGACAAAAAAAAAAAAAAAAAAAAAAAAAAGACTAGCTCAGTTTTTATTGTTAAACTCTTCAATAATCTTAAATGATGCTTTTCTTTTTCAAACTTCAACATTCGTTATTATTGATTTATTCATGAATTCATAGACATTTTAACTACAAAGATTTCCTGGTCATGTTGTTACTGAGTATATCTGCTCGGCCATATAAACAACACATGACTAACACTGCAAAGATCTGAATTGTCTCCTACTAAAATGGGGGAGTCAGGAGAAGACTCTTCGTTGTCCTTCGGGTCCTCCAGGGGCTCCGTCTGCGTCTCTTCATCGCCTTGCTCCTGGACAGGGCTGGACTCCGAGGCTGGAGGAGTTTCCAGCGTTTGCTCCTCTTCTGTGGGACTCTCTTCACTCTCTGACTGAACCTCCACAGACAGGCTGTCGGTGTTGTTCTCAGGCTGCTCTTCTGACTGGGGTTCAGTCGGGATGTCGTCTATTGGGCTGTCGTCTGTCGGGCTGTCGAGCTGGGCTGCCTTCAGAGCTGCTGACAACACTTGGACTTGAGCTGATGGTAAATTAACATACATAATTCAATCAACATGCCAATACACTGCTGAAGTTCTACAGCTAATCATACGTGTTTGGGCTTTTTCTACCAACCTTGTACATCAGGGTCATCCATGTGGGGTTGCAAACAGTCTAAGACCTTTTGGATCTGGTCGCTGGTAGCTTTGCCAGGGCTGGACTTGGAATCAGGACAATCATCTTCAGGTTCCTCCTCCTCTTTGTTTTCCTCCCTGTCTAACACTTTCTCTGAAGTTTGACAATTTAGCATCTCCAGTTCCCCGCTGATGTCTGGTAATGGAGATCTCCAATAGTGGAAAGAATTAAAGTTCTCATCTGTCTGCTCTGTTTCTTTTGTGTTTTTAGCGTTGTTTGTAGTCGTAGGGCTGCTGTTTGAAACTGTGTGGGTGAAGGCGTGGCGCATTTCTCCAGGAATATAACTGTGGTTGTCGTCAAAGTTGTGCATTTCTTCACAGTCAGCTGTTACAATGTGCTCTGGGGATGGCGTAGCACGGCCATCCTGATTGGGAGGTGTGTGAGCGATGGTTCTTTCCGTGTGGCAGCCGCTTATGTCGGAGCAGTTCAGAGAATTTAGAGAGCAGTCGCTGAAATGAAAGTAACAATGAGCACAATTTATAAGAAAACTTTTGTCTGAACTGTGTAGCTGCACTACGCAAGGCCAATGTACATTTCCCCACCTGCATCTGAGCTCACAATTGTTGAGCTTTGAACAGGAGCAAACCTTAAACCCTAGTTAAAAATTTGTGAAACATAGTCAACGTGTATATTTCAAACTCTACAAGATCTCTCTAAAAAGATAACATGACTTTCTAGGTAAAATAATTCAGGGAAACACATTTGGTCAACTTCAAATTCTCTCATTTCCCTGTTTCTGCAGATAAACCTTTATCCGATCATGCCCAGTGAATTATGACCAGGATTGATGGAGAACCAACAGCTGTAAATAACTGTCAATTGTTGCAGTGGTGATGAAAGTCAGGCAGTCTTACCTGTCCAATGTACACCTGGCAACCTCTAGTAGAGAGCCGTCCTCTCTAAAGTGAAGGCCTGTGCTGGAGGGATTGGCAAAGGTGGAGATGAAACGCCCCAAAGACTGAAAGGCAGCCTGTCGCACCTAAAAGTGGGGCAGAGGAATCTGTCAGTTTAATCATGTCGACAGATATTTTTCATAATTCTAAAGCTCATATTTATTTGCTTACAATCTTATCCTATTTGCATGTGGAACCACATTAACAGCCGGATAGTCCAAAATAGCACACAGACACGGACAGTGGAACCACATGTTGTTCTGTTTATAGTACACTGGGTGTCTGGATACACAGACAAGATCACATATGTTTGTCAGCTTAAACTATCCATGCGGTCATAAATTTTGGCCACCACATGGACTCAAATGAAGGCCGGGGTTTAGAGCGGGTCACCCATAATCGGATGATCGGCGATTCAATCACTTGCTTTCCTCCGCGTGTCAAAGTGTCCTTTAATCTAAAAACCCTTCAAGCCCCATTGATAATTATTTCTGCACCCAATTAGAAAGTTTACCAAAGTGGTACAACAGTTAGAGATTCTCCATTTCGCATCAGCTCGTTTTATTGCTCCTTTTCACCAGTGAATTTTTTCTTCTCTGAATGAACTCCCCCTTTCAGAATGATTGTATCTTAAAACCAGTAACATGAAGGTGCACAGTAATGAGGAAAAAAAGACTTTCAGATTCTACGTCTAAGCAGCAACTGCTCTCTCGTCATAGTACAGAGGATGTTACACACACGTGCCTGTAATTGTATGCAATCATATGAATTACAGTTTGTCCTGTGTGTGTGCGCGATTGAGTGTGTCTTACCCAGCGAGACTGGTCACTGATAAGGCTGATGAACAGGGGGGACAATTTCGCACGTCGCACCTCCGGAGAAGTGGAATTGGAGACCATCATGAAGCACTCAGCACAAGCTTTCCTGATGCCCCACAGACTGTCTGAGCACAGATCAAAGAACTTGGGCATCTACGTGAAAAAAAACCAACATGTTAGTATACCTTATATTAAATATATATAGTTAAACTAATATTGATTAAATCATACACAGAGCAGGAAATTCTTAAAGGACACCAATGTAAACTGCCATGTTACATAAAGATTTAAAATGTTGAAAGAAAAAGTCTTGGGAGCTTCTCACCAATAGTTTTTCAGTTGCCTCCTGACCCACAATAGAACAAAACTCTCCAAAATTGGCTGCACAGACCTGTAAAACATGATGATGAACAAGTTCCAAATAAATAAAAATATTTGAAACCATCAAACATAATCCACAAGAGGTTACAGATTTGCATGGTGTCTCAAAAGGATACCAATTCCAATAACACTAATAGGAATATTAACAACTAATAACATTATTATTACACAGATCTCCTCTAGTTCGATCATTCAGTATTTCTCTATTACTTGTATGCAATGGTTGCCTGGCAACATGAGCCCTGTGCATTTGTTTGTGTGAAGTCCTGCGGGTAGTTTGCCTTGTTCATGTAGTATTTGCATGACCATGGGATTTTAATTTCAATTTAAATAAAAGAAAGGTACAAAACATTTAATGTAATTTTGGAACAGAATTCTAGATCACATGTCCTACCGTGTAGCTCTTACTTATGTTGCAATTCTAACAACATTTAATTCAAGCATTTATTAATACAATAAACACTCTTATAATATTTCTACCACTAAGAAAGTGTTCATATTATTACCCCATATTGTACAATTTTCAGACATGCTACATTTCTGATCGCTCATTGTATGAAATAAGGATTAGTATGTGTTATTGAGACTGCCGTCCTGGGCAACACATGCTTATTTTAGTCTATCCTGGGCTAAAGTGGCATAGAAAGTCATTAATTTGAAGTTTAGCTTCAGAAAAAAAAAAAGAGTTCCAAAAAGTATTCACAGTGACCACTTAAGCAAATCCTAAGTACCCTTCCCCAACTGGCACCAGTTACACCAGAGAATTAACATTCCTCACAGAAAACAACAGCGTAGTGTAGGCCACAGTGATGCGCCCAACAAAATTAAGGCTGACTCAGTGTTATTGAATTTAACTTGAATAAAAAATTAAAACAAAAAAAACACACTTATGCTCAACTCTAACTGATTGCTCAGCTGTGACTGCAGTCTGAAAGTGATTATCGAGTAGGTTCATACTCATAAGTAATTTCAGACTGGCAAAAAGTATCTTGACCTTTGAACAAGATGAAAATGGTTTGGAGGTCATTACCTTGCGAACTTGAAAGAGCCGGGCATCACTGCACAGGTCACAGAAGCGTGGCAGCAAAAGATGCTCCACTGTGTCTTTGCTCAACATGGTGACAACCTTACACATGATCTGTCAGAGGAGACATACGGAGAAAGTTATGAGGAGGCTGAATGTGATTTTTGAAAACTTAATTTGAATTCTGAAAGTGAATTAGCCAATAGCCAACACCTAAATACAATAGAATATAAATAATAAATCACATTCAACTTCGAGCCTTTACATATAATTTAAAATGGGAGGCATTGCAAATTGAATTTTTGAATTCATCAAACGCATTTTTAAAATCTTTGACAGTTCTATAATGCATGACAAATATAAGTTTAGACAATGCAAAAACAATCTTTGCCGGCATCAATAATTTTTTATTTTGGACTGGTGACTGGATTAGATAAAGGCATTGACTGATCACAGTAAAGTAACAAAATAAACCCACGGCATCTCTCTGCTTGCACTGAACGTGCATTGATTTAATATCTGGGCCACAAATTATACCTGTAGTTTAAAAGCAGTTTGTCTAGTACCCATGTGGTTTTCAGCAAAATTTCTCTGAGCCTACTTCTACGATAACTACTCGACAGGTTTCTTACAGCAACTGCCTCAATTTTGTAGTCATCGTCACTGCTGGGTTCTGTGAGTTCAAGCAGAACTGGACAAACTTTGGTCTCCATATCAGCTTTAGAGATGAGGCCCTGCTCCAACAGAACAAGCAGCGCTGCCTGGCTCGTCTTCCGCACCTGGAAAAGATGGGAGGAAGTTCAAAGAGTTTTACTTTAAAATTTTTTCTACTTCTCTTATTTCCTAAAAGCTTAGAAAAGAAGCTCACAAAAATGAACACGAAACAAACAAAAAATAAATAAATTACTGCTTGGCCAGTATTTATTGTTGTTTTCATTGTAAAAATCAGCTAGAAAAGTGTTAAATATGAAAATTACCTGGTTGTTTGGATCAGTGAGATATCCGACTACAATGGGCACCAAGTATCTTGAGAAAGCTGCTGGGAAGTTGGGCCGACTCTCGTGTAAGAACATGGCGATGTTGGGAACCTGCTCCATCAGTTCAGCTCGCACCGTAGGCTCTGATTACACACATTAAAGCAGAAGCTTAATGCACACATACTAACATCAAATGTGTGCATCACAATGCAAGTGTTATGTGATCACAACCATATAAAGATGAAATCCTGAAAGAGTTCAATTGAGTTTAATAAAGACATTTTTTAAAGGGAAAGAAACCACAGTCAAAAAGCACAGAATTATCTAGAGACAGAACAACTGAATAGGTGAAAAGGAAAATGCATCTACCTCCATCTTCTGACATTCTGGCAACTGTCTCCATGACACTTATAAAGTCATTTTCATTGTCACTGAACTCTCGAAGCACATCAAGCAGGCCACGAGCCACGATCTGCCTAGAAAGCAACAGGAGCGTCAAGTTAGTAGACAGCCTGCCAATACCTGCAAGTACTGAATGCACACAGCGTGACACAGCACTGACAGAGCTGTCAAGTATACACACATGACATGAGCCTGCAAAGCTAAGCATGAAAAGCATGGAGACAGGAACTAAACAAGTTTGTGCGTGGACAGCAGAGCAGTATTAGAGAGGTACGGTGTTAAATTAATCAAAAAGCACATCCTCAGGACAATCTGGTTACTGGATAGAAACATCATAAAACTCACACAAAGAACAACACATAGACCTGATCTTTTCTTCAGTTGGAAACACTAAAAAACTAGGACTAGCATTATCAACCTAATGTCATGTTCAGACAGACACCATCCACCCATGGCTCAACATTAAGTCTTTTGGCATTCATGCACTACAGAGTTAAAACAGGTATGTGATTAGTAAATACACAGGAATGCAGACAGTCTTCCAGATGTCTAAGAAAAAACACATCTAAAGATTGCTTGTGATTGGAGGATGTGTTAATCTCAATATTTTCCCATGTGTGTCTTACAATCTAGCCATTATTTAATGCAATGTATACAACGCCCATGAATAAAAGAATGTCAAATACCAACAACGTATCATTGCACAACATTATGCCATTACTTGTGTGCGCCACAAAACCTATCAGCAATGATTTCTTGCAATCACTGAACATTAAGTGATCGATCCAACAATCATTAAACCTTTTATTAACAGTGCAAATACTAAATTTTCTTGTTTACACCAGCATAAAATACAACAGACCAAATAAACAGTTTCCTGGCAGAGTTTCACACCTTTAAAATTAAATGCAAAGTTAATTTTACTACGTGGCTACATCTTCTCATCACTTTTTCTACAAGTAACACATCTGTGCTCTTTGCCAGATGTTTCCTTGATACTAAGTTACAGATGGTTACAGATGTTTCCTTTTTGTTAAAACCCACTAGTGATGGCATAATACTTTCAACACAAATCGTCAACATGAGGACATGTCTACACAACTGCAGATCAATTTGAAAAACGGTTTACTTGTCACATTAGCCATTTTCTGGCTATGGCTATGTTTGTGTTTTCTGTCTGCTGTACTCAGGTCTCTCTTGCAAAAGAGATCTTGATGTCAATGATATTACTTGATCAAATAAAGGTTGTATATATAAATGAGGCAATATCTTGAGGAGGAACAGTTTTTGATTGCTCCAATACTTCCACAGGCTTGGCAAGTAGCACTGAAGCTGTTCTGGAGGCTCTTGAAGGCCTGACCCCATACAAAGACATGTTTTTTCTTTAATTTGTCACCCATGTGTAGTTTCACAATGTATCCTCACAACCCAAAAACCCTACTTATGAAGATCCCATTGTCTGGCGTTTAATTTTGTCTGTCAGTCTTTTGCATGGAGTGTTGGGTTAACAGCTTTACCACAGGGCTCTACTTACCTATTGAAGACATTCTCACTGAAGGCATACTTCTCTAGCCTCCCAAGAGGTGTTAGGTTGTCTTGTCCTGCATCGAGAAAGGCTGTGATGCGGATGCCATCGCACTCTGAACCATAGTCATCAAATCCAACTGTGGGAGAGAAAGAAAGATCATTTTATGATCATTTAATCATTGGAACCACCTCTGAAACACACAGCTAGTGAACTGACTAGGACTGACAGATGCACCACAGTACTCACAGCGCCATATTAAAGATACTGAGTCAGACTACATGTCAAGAATTAGGACCCTCCAATGTGTGAATAAAGCAGAAAGGCTCAAGCCTAAGTGATTATTCCATTTAATGTTCCAGCCATAAATACACAGTGGCTTTGCAGTTGGATCTAAACACCGTTTTATCACCCTGGCTAACGCAGACAGGGAATGTTGGTCTGTATAACTGCTAATAATAGCATCATGTAAAACCCTGAAATACTGTTGACAGCTTTAAATTTCACATGGGTGAATTAGGGTTGCCCAAAAAGATGACACGTGGGGGAAGTTCCACATATATGCAAGAAATGAATCCATAAATTCAGGTACTATGTATTTAGTTACCAAATAAAGTAACCCGAGTACTCACAGTCATCCAGATCATCATGGCCATCTTCAAAGTATAAAGATAGACCTGCAAGGATAAGGCAATTAGAGGGGGAACCCATGGTGGCAAACATGTCATCAACATACCGTCACTCTATAACCCCCCCCAAAAAAATAAAAGGAGTTCTGTGTTGGCAGGTTTACAGGCTGACAATTACTTAGATGGAACAAAGTCTCCCTCATTAAGATTGACAATAAATCACTGCGATCTCACTGATTAATCACACTGCAAAACAAAAACTGTGCATTCACGTGGCAACGTCGTTGTGGTGACATGTCACAGGGAGAAATGAAAACAAGTCAGTAAATATAAACATGATGTTTCTCCTGGATCCCACAATATGATCTAGGATCCCAAAGGCTCATTGATATAGGTGCTGGATCCCACAAAATCAATGTGATTAAGGGATTATAATGTCACTGGTCACTTTGGTGTATACAAACACATTTAATTTCCTTCATACAGGTATTCACCTGATAAAGACCTGTGCTGGGTCGAAAAGTTGCTAGTAAAAACTCCAGGAAGCTCTGATTTCATTGTAGGTACAGTATCTTGTATATCTTCTCTATGCTTTTTGCAGACATATGACACTTTACCCACAACCTGACTCCTTTCCCTCAGAGGCAATTTTTAATTTCTATTAAGTTTTTCCTCACTTCTTTGAGGATATTTTTTCACTCAATATACTTTATAATTTCTAATAATGTTTGGGGTATATAGTATTTAGTACCTTGAATTTCAGATTTTCAATTCCTTCTGAACATAATAGATACCCATAAAGTAAAATACTCTAGTTTGCTTATCTATACTAAATAATCCCAAAGTGATATTTCCCTGAATCCCAAACAGGGATTCAATTTAGCTTCCCGTGATTATGTAGCCCAATGTGATGAAGACAAACTAGACATGTAACGCTGAAGACGTTATTTTCAGCGCCTTCACGTAACGTAACAAACCTACACTACGAGAGGATTTTCGTTCGTTATTTCTTTTCAGTTCCAACCAGCCCTAAATAAAGGACACTAATTCAGATTAGGGTAGCCAAAAGAACAGCCCAGAAAGAGAAACATGTGGTGGGACGGCTAATGCCAGTGTTTACAGCTGGGCAAGCAAGGGAATGTGCTCCAAATACAAAACAACCCCTATGTCGAAAATATACATTAAATGTGGTGTTTCGTGTGGGGAGTAAATGACGTTACGGCTGGTTTAAGAACATACCCCAAAAGCATGTTGGCAAAGGACAACATCTCTCTCCTTTGTTATGGTATAAAAGGAGGATTTGGTCAGCTTATGGCTGAAAATGACTTTAGCAACTAGGCTAACGTTAGCTGGGTCAACTCGCTAGCCTTTGCTATGACAACAGTTCGATAATAACACGGCTGGAGGCAGACGGTATTGTCCAACTACAGAACAGCGCGGTCATTCAAAAAATAATCTACACGTACTCAGTAGACATAGGTTTAAATGTAGCCTTAAAGGCATACATTTCGATACTACTGAGTGGCTTTCGTTAGCTAGCTGGCTAGCAGTGCTAAGTTGGCTAACACGGCTTGTCCAGCCCTTTTGCTTGACTTGTTCGCCTTAGCTCGCACTTCGCCTGGGATAACCTACAAATTCAGTAAAGTAGAGGCCGCTATCTTAAGAATTTCGACTCTTAATACCACAATGCCGCTTTGTAAGTGAAAAACACAGTGTCAAAGTAACAGAGAACACACTATTTAAAAAGTGCCATTACCTGCCATCTTGAGTCTCGGCTCGGCTCTGCGGGCTGCCGTCCCGTGTGGGCTGTCACCACCGCACAGCTGTCACTCAAACAGCAGCAAACTACTTCCTGAAAATACTTCCTGATGCCACCGGTCACCGGTTAGTTATCTTTAAAACAACAAGCTGAAAACGGTAACTGTTTCTCACCTTGGGCACAAACTCGACATAACTGAGCGTAAATACAGCCTGTGTCGGCTTTGTGTATCTCCAAACAAAAAAAGAGCCGAACGGTCACGTGATCACAAGCCGTAGTTCAAGATGGAGACTAAACGGTTTGCTGGCTTCACTGTTAGCTAGCTAGCTGTTTACAATAACCACAATATGGCAAATACGACGGAAAACTGGACGTTTTAACGCTAATAGCAAGAGTTGTTATCTAACCTGGGACGTGCATTTCGCAGCTTTTGACCACGATGAAGTAAAGTTATTTGTAAACATAGACCACCAGAAGAATATTCAAGATAAGAGGTAACTTATACAGCCAGAGGAGGAAAACTGTCAATGGTCATCTTCACAAACTCATTTTAAGAGAGAGGAGATCGATATGGCGCTGAGGGAGTTAAAAGTTTGTCTCCTGGGGGTAAGTCAGTAACGAGTTTTATCTAAAAGCGTATGTCTGTACACCACACTGTACCCGTGGCATCAAATGATCCATACTGCCCCTCCATCAGGCTACACCATATAGATGGGCAGCTCTGTTTACATGAGTTAAATGTGTCGATCAAGTGGGTACAATACATGTACTTCATGTTTTTTCTGCACTCTTAACATCTGTCACATAAACAACATTTATGCATTTTGTTTACCAGCTTCCCAGTAATATATCCCACAAATAACAGGAACAGGAAATAACACCATCTGCTACTAATGACATTAAATTGGAGCTGTAACAAGTAGTCGATTAATTGTTTAATGCCTCAACAGAAAATGAATCTGCAACAATATTGATAGAGTAATAATTAACATTGTTTTTGAAGCTTAAATGCAAAAACGTTTACCTTTTACAGCTTTTCAAATATTAGGATTTGGTGATTTATATAATTTGGGCTGTTTGTCCACAAAACAAGGCATTTGAAGTTGTCACCTTTTAAAAAAAGAAAATTATTAGTTGCATTCCTAATGCTTATATAGCTTTCTTAAATAACATTACTGGCCCTATTATTTCAAAAGAATCCTCTGGTTCCAGCTTCTCAACGGGTGAATTTGATTTGCTGCTTTTCTATATTTTATATCACTATAAATGAAGTATCTTTATGTTTTTCACTGTTTGTCAGACAAAGCAAGACTTTTGTAGTTGTCACTGTGGAAACTTATGTTGTAATTGTTTTCACATTTTTGATTAATTGAAAAATCATGAAATGACAGATTAATAGGTGATTAAAATAATCTTCAGTTGCAGCCATCCTTATATAACATTGCTAAATAACATTACTGGTTTTGCTGCATTTGCTATTTACAAATCAGTCACATGAACAATATTCATGTATGTTAAGACTGCTTATTACAACAGCATAAGCTATAATTTTCTGTAACAGTATCTTGTAAAACTTTCCTAAAGTAACTTTCTCACGCCTCCTTTTCTTCATCAACTAGTACGGTTTAAAAAAACTGTGTAAAATGAACTACGTCTGACCTGTTTAACATGAAGTGAGCAGAAAGGAAGATGCCATGAAAAAGCAATAGTGTCTGGACATATTGCCAGAGAATGTGGTTTCATAGTTGTGATCATAGTTCTAGTAATGGTTTCAGTCTGTGTTTAGTAAGCATCATCTTTATTTTGTCTCTGCAGGACACTGGCGTTGGAAAGTCGAGTATTGTTTGGAGATTTGTGGAGGACAGCTTTGACCCAAACATCAACCCAACAATTGGGTAAGTTCCTGCTGTTGCCCACGCTAGTAGTTATGTTTATTCTCCGTTTTATTGGTTTGTGTTTAGAGTTGTTGGTTATTTAGGTCTACACCTTATGGATTAATCAATTCCAATTAGAGCCAAAAGGAAATTGAATGGGCAATAATTATGACGATTAGTTGTTCAAAATGAAAACAATTGTTTTTAATTTATCAATTAAAAATACACAATATTTGCAGGTTCCATGCAAAAAGTCACTTCCTTTTCTGTTTCACGACATTATAAATGAAATACTTTTATGTGTGAGTTTTTGTGGCTGAGTCAGCTCAAGTAAACAATTTTAAGACATTGCTTTGTGACATTTGTCAACATTTTTGACATTTTATTAACAATATGATCAGTCAGCACTAGAGCCCCACCATCATATAGGCATTGCCAATATTATTGACCAACTTAAGCTTATCCTAGAGAGAGATATATAAATATATAAAATTTATTTATCAGCCGACATGTACTGAAACATACATACATACACACACACACATATACATATATATATATATATATATATATATATATATATATATATATATATATATATATATATATGTATGTATGTATGTATGTATGTATGTATGTATGTATGTATGTATGTATGTATGTATATATATATGTATGTATGTATGTATATATATATATATATATATGTATGTATATATATATATATATATGTATGTATGTATATATATATATATATGTATGTATGTATGTATATATATATGTATATATATATATATATATATATATATATATATATATATATATATATATATATATATATATGTATGTATATATGTATATATGTATATATGTATATGTGTTTCAGTACATGTCGGCTGATAAATACATTTTGTAAAACACCTAAATTGAATTTGTATCTTTATAATGTGACATATTAAGAATATATATTCATGAAGCCATTTCTCTTCACCAGAGCATCCTTCATGACCAAGACAGTGCAATACCAAAACGAGCTGCACAAGTTCCTGATCTGGGACACGGCAGGACAGGAGCGGGTCAGTTATATCTACTGAGGTTTTGGCCTCAGCATTTTTTCTTTTTTTTAATGAACAGATGGATAGCAAAGCTGAGCACAGTTCACATATGTTTTGGATTTGCACAGCCAAACCACACCAGAAAACATTTTAGATATTGGGATCAATCAGTTTGACTTGTACTGATTCCTGCCATTTGTCTTAAAAGGAAGTGAGAATGCTACCCACATGTGCATGGACCACTCCCTGAACCAGCCTAGCTAGGGGAAAGTGAATAGTGCAGTTATTCATTACTTCTGATAGGGGGCAACATTTACCTTTCTATAGGTAGATAACCTACTTCTTTTAGTGCTCTTGTTTTAGGAGTCTCATTTGCCATGATTTAAGGTGCGTGGTGTAACAGTTTTGCATTCTTTAGGTCAGTGAGTGACATCTGTTTAGTTTAGTAGAAACATCAAGTCTGTCACCTTTAATCGTTGTCCTGCCTCTCCCTTCACTCTTCCTTCCTCCTCATCGCATTCATACATTTTGAGACAGATAAAGGTGTGGCATTGCTTTTCTTTTGTGGTATTGTGTTGTGTTATGTTGCATACACGTCGGAAAAGTGTTGTTTGTATGATGTTTGATGTCCAGGTGCTACTTCTTATGCAACCTACTGTCCTGTGTGTCTATAGCAGAGATATTTGAAATGCCTTGTCACTCGCTCAGGACTGAAACCACTTACAGAGGATATGTAATATATGAAACAGGATACATCTTGTAAAATTTTAGCATTTATGCCTGTCCAAACAACACCAAGCTCCAGATAGTTGTAGTGTAAGGAACTACTTTCTCTTTTGAGTCACACCCTGCATCCATTTCTCTGCTTTAGCTCTCCACATCACTTTCCTTTTTCTGTGCATACCCTTCTTTTTTTCTCATGTGCAGTCCCCTGCTATTGTAATGTCTTATCCCTGCTGCTGTCCTCTCCAGAGAGGTGAGATAAAATGCTGTTTGTCTTCTTTTATCCTCCTTCCCCTCGGGGGCCTCGGCTTTTTCACTGTCTTGAGGGGACATCAGCGCAGCCCTGTTTAAGATAAGATGAGAAGATGAAACCCAAGCTGTCTCAGCCCACTGGCGTGTGCTGCTACTGTGTCTTATCTGAGAGTCAGTGCAGCGCCACGCCAGTGTCCTCTATTTTTTTTTTCCCCTTTGTGTTTTTTGCCTGTGGAATATATATATTTTTTTCTTCTCTTGGCAACAATCTATTTTTCTGTGAGTCTTTCTTTTTTCACCTTGTCACCTGTAACCTTTTCAATACCACAAATCCACATTTTCAATCTCATGTGGCCTCTCAGCCTCCCAGGGAGTTCACATCTTTGCGGGAAGTAGCAACATTCCTTGGGCAGATTTTGCATGTGTCTGTGTTTTCATTAAAAAAAGCTGCTGTGGTATTTTGAATCCTTTCATGGCTTGTTTCAAAAGCTGTTGAGTTGAGAAAGGGGAACACAAAGACAGCCAATGCACATGGCAGGAGAGACCAGGGCAAAAAGGAAAACTCTGTGATTTCCACAATCCACAATCCATATCTCAAGACCAGATGAGGCCTTACGAGCCCAGCTGTCAACAGCCCATCGAGGTCTCCCCCACTGGAATAGGAGGGTTCCTTTCATTACGCACCCAGCTCGTGGTTTCAGCAATTAATCAGCACTCGCATCCCAGGCATCACTGGGGCTGTTTTCTGGGCTGCTGTGTGGCCAGACGTCTGACCTCGCTGTGATTGCTCTTTGGGTTAAGGCAGAGATAGACCACACAGGACTAGTGGTGGTGCGGCACAACACTGGCCAATGAAACAGACAGCACTCTCCTCAGTGCCTCTGCCAAATATCCCAAGTTGGATTCCCATTGGTGGACTTGGGGCCAGTAACAACTATAATTATGTGGAATGTGTGCTTTCCTGAGGTAACAGTGTCACTCCAAGATGGATAGTTTATTCCATCGTATTATAAAGGAAAAATAGAATTGGCAGGAATGCAGGGTCATTCCAAGTGAAGGTCTTTTTCAGACATGGGTAGTTTCTTTTAAAATAAATATCATTAGTTAATACATGACACATGGCATTATTAGTCTGTTAAATGCCCCAGTCCAGTGTATATTGCAAGAGGGTATAAAGAAAGATTAGAAATATGAGAGGGAAAAGAATTCTTTTTAAATTTAATTTCTTGAAATATACTGTAGGTTACAGTATATAGAACTGTGTGTATATATACAGATTTTAAAAAAGTTATTTTGAATTTAACTTAATTGTTTCAGGAGAAAAATAATTTAAACATGCACTCTTACTCCACTTTTGTGTGCGGAAACTTTTGTTGAACTTAAACCCGGGCGGCTCTGACCTTTGTGGGACACAGCCAATCACTGTTGACCACTGCTTGAACTGAAGGATGGGGGAAAGACAAATTACTTTCACAACTATATAATAACAAATTGGCCTTATATCGAAACCTGACAAAAAAGATAGCTATATTCTTGGTTACAAAACACTGTTTGAGACTCCTAGCAACCTAGCAACCTACTGCTAGCAACATTAGATATTTGTTGTACCAGGTTCACCATCTCAGTTTAGCGTGTTATCAAGCTAACATTTGCTAATTAGCAATACATAGCAAGTAGGGAGGTGATGGCTCAATGGATAAGACACATGCCTTTGGTGTGAGAGACCTGGGTTTGATTCCTACTGTGACCCATCCATCTTTGTGTCCCTGAGCAAGACACTTAACCCCTAGTTGCTCCATGCAACCTCTGACATGTATAGCAATTGTAAGTCGCTTTGGATAAAAATTAAAATGAATTAATGTAATGTAAAGTGCAACTGATGCCATTTGGGAATGCTCTTGGACAAATAAAAAAATAAATCTGATTATGAAATGTGATGACTGTTCAAGGGATCGCCAAAGTTGTTATAATTCATCCTAAAGGAGACATGTGTCTGTACCAGATTTCATGAAAATCCATCCAATAGTTTCTGAGACATTTTATTAAAAATATAAATGTGAACCTCATGGTGGCGCTAGAGGAGAATTCAGTTCAGCTTCAGTGATCATTGGAAAGTATTTTACCAGAAGAAAAATACCAAAACCTGGCAAAAAGAAGAACCGCCCCAGCCTCCCAGGCAGCTGTGGATTTAGAAATGCACATGTTGTTTTGATTATGCAGAGCTTTGTGATCTAGTGGGTTAACATCAAATGTATAGTCTCCCATAAATATCAAAACGCTAACAGCTTTCGACACATTCTGCTCATCTTTCTCTTGATGGCTACCACATGTGTGAGGTCTTGGTGGAAAGACTTGCCATACTTCCATTTTAAATAAAGCCACTTGGCTTATAAGCTCAGCACACTGGCCCTTTGATTTAGTAAAATGGTACTTGGTGTCGTATTTGCTCCTTTTTATACTTGTGTTTGTGTTTGTTACAGTCAGTGTTATTGAGTCTAATGAAACTCACCTTGGTCTGTGCCTGTGTAACTGATTAGCCATGGTCTATGAAAGCCTGGACACCGTTTCTTGATCTATGTGGTGTGAAAATATATAATAGTACAATTAAACAGCATACTGCAGTAATATTTTTAGTACCCTTTTCATAACCAAAAATAAAAAATTGGAAGGAAATCAAGGTAATTAATCGTCAACAATGAATAGATATTGACCATCTCTGGATAAGATCTTTTAAATTCTTGGTCTGTTGTCATGTTCATTTTCACGCAGTTTCAAAGCTATATGCAGACTTAATGATGTCAGCAGATCAGGCAGTCTAGGTTAGCCAGAGATAAAGGTCATTCAAAGGCCTCCTCCTTGTCCAAAATTACTCATCATTGCTTCCTTTCTCTCTTCCCATAGTTTCGTGCTCTAGCGCCGATGTACTACAGAGGTTCAGCTGCGGCCATCATTGTTTATGACATCACGAAAGAGGTATTATTTACTTTTTCTCCCCAACCACAAATCCACCATGTATTTACTGTGTTCATTGTCCTGTTTGATGTCTTTCCTCAAATTTTAAATCAAAATCAAATCATGTCTATGCAGTAAATGCAAAGCTACAGCATGCAGCCGTTATTGTTATTACCTATCTCAGAGCCAGGCTAGCTGTTTCCCCTTGGTTCCAGTCTTTATGCTAAGCTAAGCTAACCAGCGGCTGGCTCCAGCTTTTGTATTTACCGTAGAGGCATAAGTTTTATCTATCATCTAATCTAACCCTTAGCAATATTACCCAAAATGTCAAACTATTGCTTTAAACTTTCATGGGAGATACTATGTGCTTGTCTGCTTTTTGGTTCATTCAGTTTATACTGTTGTTTAACTGTATTATCAGGAATCCTTCCAAACACTGAAGAACTGGGTGAAGGAGCTGCGCCAGCATGGTCCTCCTAATATAGTGGTCGCCATCGCTGGCAACAAATGTGACTTGTCAGATGCCAGGTGAACCTCAATTAAAAATAATACTGTATGTTTCATGAACAATGCTAGTGAGATGATGCCATCTTATTTAGAACTTGAGAGTGATGATGGGATGTCAGATAAGATGTATATTGGTGTTCTGTATCTTCCACAAAATTGAAACATCTCCCAGGCTCAAATATACAAACGCTTTTGGTTATAAGATTATCCATGAAATTGGAAAATCTTCCACATAATTGCTGTAGCAGTACATTTGATGGTTATCAGTTAGTGCATGAAATCTGTTCGCATGTTACAACATAATCATTTTCACATACCTCTTGTGTTTACAGGGAAGTGCCAGAGAAGGATGCCAAGGACTATGCTGACTCCATCCATGCCATCTTTGTAGAAACCAGTGCCAAGAATGCCATTAACATCAACGAAGTGTTTATAGAGATAAGTGAGTGTGTTTCTTGGTGCCATTGGCCTGCACATTCTTAGGTTCCCATTAAGCCGTGAAAAAGTAAGCATTATACAGCATTAAGATAATTGTCTCACTCTGTACTTTAAAGCAGGGAGACTATGTTTTGAACAGTACTGCCTATTACGTTGGTATTGTTTCCAGCGTTTCAAGAGCGTTATCATTCTTTTCTGTGCTTGTATCAGACTTCTGACAGTGATGAGCTAGTTCAGAATAGGCTGCAGATAATGCGATGTTGGAAGTAAAGCAGAGTCCATGTAATCTTGACAATTCATTTCGAAACACAAATTTGCAGAGATGAGGGATTGTGGGATTGAGTGGCACCTTATAAGCTAGAGATAAATAAGGTATACTCAATAGCTGTGTCCCAATTCCATACTTACAACATATTTCAACATGTTCATACAAGAAAAGTAGAAAAATGGGGCGGCTGTGGTGCTTTACGCCGTGTGGTTAGATCGTTACAATAAGGCCCTGTGTCTTTTTCTATACTAAAAGCTTGATATCCCCATTCAATACTAATTGTATACAGCGTGTGCTATATTCTAATATTCACAGTATACTGGTTTTGCACTTGAAGAAGTTAAAATACTTTACTGTGATAAAATTCTTTTTGAGTTTTGAATGGCACTGTAAATTCATGTTCACAAAGAGAAAGCAAAATATTTATTACTTTATATTAATTAATTAATTTTTTTTCAAATGCGAGAAGCAACAACGCATTCAAAAGTTTTATGTATGCATGCTGATTTTTGTGTGTGTGTGTCCTCAAAGGTAAGCGCATCCCCATTGCAGACGCAGCAGGAGGTACTTCGGGAAAAGGTTTTAAACTGGGACGGCAGGCCTCGGAGTCTCGCAGGACGTGCTGCTGATGATGCCGGTGACCCCACATGACATGTGACCTGACCTTTGCTTACCCTCTGTGTCCCCGGCCTGCTTCAGCTTACAGCCACCACACGCCGTCATAAAACCCTGCTATCTCTGAAACCATGGGCCATAGCAAATGCATTTTTACAACAACAGTAAATCTTCATATATTGTCTTAAAATTGCCGGAGAAACATTGTTATGCCTGCGTTAATACATCCATGTCTAAATGAAAGATCCCTATATATATATATATATATATATATATATATATATATATATATATATATATATATATATATATATATATATATATATATATATATATATATAACATAAACCATTATGGACATCAACCACTGCTTATTTAAGCCCTAGGTTGATCAGAGAAACTTTATAGCTGCAGATTCATGGATTCAGAAATCATTTTTACTTACAAATCCACTATCTTTCGACCAAAATATGGGCTAAAAATGGTTCAGTTTCACCAAATTATTTTGATAGTACTTAAGTTACTGCTTTTTGGAGGGGAAGGTCTCTCCCAAATCATTCTCAACTTTGTGAAGGATCCATCTATACAGTTGTGTGTGTAATCACTAATTTATCATAATGCTTTGATGAAAGAGGTTGTGGTAATCAGCAGTACCTATCTCTCATCAGCTTTTGGAAGGATATTTAGAGAAATGATGGTGATTCACAGTCAAGCATGAAGGACTGGGAAAACTAAATTGAAGTTTTATTGTGTGATTGCTGTTTTCATCAAGAGGTTTTTCAAGGCAAAATTCCAAGTGGGTGTTTTGATGTAAATTGCACTGTTAAAAATACAGGAATGAAAGGTGTGTAGATTCCTTTACATTAAAGGAGTAGTTTGACATTTTGTGAAATACGCTTATTTGTGCCCTAACCTATGGTGAGATGAGAGTATCAACACCAAATATCATATCTTGATTTGGTAAATATGAAGCCGGAGCCAGTAACCAGTTCATGTACTTAGCATAAAGACTGGAAATGTGGAAACAACTAGCCTGGCTCTGTCCAAAGTTTACAAAATCTACCTGGCAGTACCTCTCAAGCTCACTAATTAACACAATGTATCTCATTTGCTAAGCTAACCGGCTGCTGACTGTTGCCTTATATTTAATGGACACATATGAGAATGGTATTTCCCAAAAATGAACTATTCCTTCAATTTCAAACTATTGTTCTCTTTGGCTGCTCCACACTTCCGCTTGTAATCATTGAGATGGTATCAAGTGAATCCTGAATATGAAGTTCCCCATAGTGCACACAGTACACTCACAATATCACTTTAGCTTTATTTTTCTCTAATCTTATTATAACTGTTCACTGGCTAGCCTGTCGGTCTATGGTCAGTCCTCAATCCTTTGCTGCTACTTTACAACAGTTTTACAGGGGAGGCTGATACTTGTGAGGTCTTGCCAAATTCATTAAGTGTTCCATAAACATTTTTCATTCCCCCGTAATCAGCAGGGGTTCTCACATGCAATGTTGTTGTTTTACGGCTTGGCACTGTGACAGTGAGATCTGGAAACTGGACATCGTTTAGAGGATACTGAGATTGTAGAGCTTAAATTTCCCCTTAGCAAAACGTCATAGGTGCCGAATTAGATGTGGCACTGTGTCGACATGCTGACCCCTTAATGAACCTTAGTCTCCATTCTGCTTTGAATTACTGTATGTGCTTTGTTCCAGGGTCTGCCTTTTGAGTTGACTTTCTCCCACCTTTTGCCTCATTCCTCTAAATTCCAGGCACTTAAGGAAAGTCCAGCTTTCATTTTCAGTCAAACAAATATGGTACACCGTACAACAGCTTTCACAGAGCTCTACATCACTTCTTATGTTCATGAAAACCATTAATACTCTGTGATCCCTCTGCTATGTTACAGTAGTTTCATTTACCTCTTATACTGGCCAAATTGAACTTCAGTAGCAGTTGACTCATGAGTCCCCACAGACTTATTAATTATGTGTAATTTCATGCTTGTCTGTATCTTTTGAGTCCTTTTAGGCCCAAAACCTCTTAACAAAGTTGCCAAAAAATACAGATGTGGGCTCAATTAGACCAATCCATTTCCACATTTATAAATTTTGATTGTGTGCTTTTCTGTCAGCGCACACCACTTTATTTGCCTTCAAGCATCTTAAATGTATGTGTTATTGATGAGTTGTGTGCTAAGCAGCAGTGCCTATTTTTTTCAGGATGTTTCAATGGAGTGCAATAGTAGTTACTATGACAAAGGTAAAATGTGACCTAATCCAAGAAATTGGTTACAGAGTGATTCACACTCATGTGACAATGTGATCTCATTCTCTGCAGTCTCAAACAGATTATGATGACAGGTTTAGATTGACCTCAGTTTTGCTCAGACTTGATCAAATGAGCAGTGTGAAGAGGCCAACCAAACCTGTAGAAAACCATAGTGGCTTTCGCTATTGACTTTGATCATTTGCCCTGCACTACATCATAATGCTCTCTAAATAGCTTCAGCAATTATATCAGAAAGGGAAGCACTCTGGTACTTTGAAAGCTGCACTTTGACTGTTTGTATTAATTGACCCCTATTACTAACTCTCAGTCTGCAGTCTGTCTTATTATCTCAAATCACTCGATGAAACATTCTTGTGATGGTTTCAGATTCCTTTATGTCCCTTGATGTTACTTTAGGTTTTGACTGTTTGCTCAGTTCTTATTGCTATGCCAAATAATGTCAAACCATTTTACTACACCATGCATAGTTAACCTTTTTTTAATTGTTAATGTAATATAATATAATGATTGAAAGTGTTAATCACATAAATGTGTAAAAAAGATTTGAAGTTTGATAATAACTCACATGTTTTTCCCTTATTTGGAAACAGGAGGCATGGAAAGATATTGTATGCCAGTTTTTTTCATTGAAAAATATTAATAGTCTTGGGCTGGCCCTGGGAATGTGATTAATCTATATTATGTATATTTTTCAGTGTAGATATATACCATCCAATTGTACACAAATCAGTGACTATATTCTATTCTAAGCCAGTTGTAGACTCGTACACCATTTGCAGTAATTCCATCAGCATTGTAGTTACCATATTTAGCTTTTTACTGTTTCATATTGATTGTAACAAAATGCCTGACAACACTTGTTTGCAGTGTATTTCTAAATGTGTAAAAAGGGAATTGTCAATTTGTTTACTAATAAAAGATTGACAAAAATATATTTCCCCCTCGTGTGTGTGTGTGTGTGTGTGTGTGTGTGTGTGTGTGTGTGTGTGTGTGTGTGTGTGTGTGTGTGTGTGTGTGTGTGTGTCAGAGACAGACAGAAGACGTTTCTCACTCCCTTGTGTTACACATAAGAGAGCTTGTTTCCTTGGGGAAACAGTGACAATGTTGTTAGTGATTGGTTGTGTTGTTCAGTTGGCAGCCAGCCACCTGGCTATATATATATGATACTTGAGATGCATGTTTGACTGGCAGAGGGCTTTTCACTGCACTTGAATAGTGCTGAGAGGGCTGAACACTTATTTGACAACCTCCCCATCGCCTACTAAACCCCAGTAAGTTTAAATTATCCAGTGTTTGCGCAATTTGTACTTTTTTCCCTTCCAATCAAAAAAAGAAGTCACTTTTTTATAAATGTGTTTGAAAACTATGTGCTTCATGGGAAATAAGGTAAAAGTGAATGTAAACTATCACACTTGTAATAATTAATGGCTCATCTTTGTTTGAGGTATCAATATTTTAATTAAACATTACATGGCAGAGTGAGAATAACATGGGGGCTTGTGTAAATGAGGAGAAATGAATGGAAGCTAATTTGAAAGGTGAAAAATAAATTGATTTATGAAATTAATTAAAGGTACACTGGCACACTGGTATAGTTCCAGTTACATCATTTTGCCGTTGAGCTGTTTTCTCTCCAGGAAAACGTGAGTGTTTCACAATATCCCACTTTATGCTGTTGCCATAATTCTTACCAATTAAACACAGGTGTAAGTAATAATATTAATCACAGCTGCATATTTCAATTATATCTTAGAGGGGCCAGGGCGCTTGTGTTGTGCATACTGGCTCATTGATCCACTTGATTGGAATGGAGCCATCATTAATGTTATTACTTCCACCTGTGTTTGTACTGCTGTAATTAATAAAAACGTCCTCAGTGAGAGAATTTATAATGCCCCAAAAAGTAGCTCCTTAAAATTTTGCAGCCTTTGGATTAATACATAAACAAACTGAATGAATATTTGTGACCTCCTTTGTGAAAACCAACAAGTTAGGTTTTTACCTGTAAATTTGCATTTATGGGTGTGAAATGTATCGGGTAACATTAAAATAATTTGAATATGTTTAGAATTCAGATCTATAATGTTTTCATATAGCCTGCCAAAAAGTAAATTTTTCCAAAATAAAATAAAAGGATAATCAGTATGGCTGTTGATAAAAACACAAAAAGCTGTCCCAAAAAGTACTGCAAAAGGGAATCTATAAATTATGTTTACTTGATATTTCAAGCTGGGTAAATGCAGGAAAAAGTTTACTAAAAAATTTCCAACTGTCAGTCACCAGATAACAATTAGATAAGAGCCAAGCTGTAAGCCAAGTTATCCACAAAGCAATTCCAGTATGACATTACATGTGGTATTGTAAGAATGACAAAAATTACTTTTGATTTATTGTTACGTGCAGCAAAGGGAGGAATTGCACCAACATCCTTTGCATATTCCCCTTGTGTTAGAGGAATTATATATTGTAATAACAATACTGAGCAAGTGATCCACCAGGATAATATTACTTCCACCGACACTGTGGAACGTTCTTCCCTCAGACCTCCGAGAACTCAGTTGCGTTTTAAAAACAGACTCTTTAATTCAAGCAGGCCATTGTCTCACAGTAGGCTATTTAATATGTACAGTTGTATGCCTTTTCACATCTGTAAATGCCTTGGTTTAACTGACTGATTACTGCTCTGTGTAAAAGTGATACATTAAATAAATCTTATCTAGCCTACTTACTTAGTTTGGAGAGGTAGGGTCAAGAGCAGGGTGCAAAATTAGCACCAGCCACCAGCAAATGCTGATAAAATATGAAAATAATAGATTCACTTCATCCACCAGCCCGAAAAAACAACGGTAATCTATTGAGTGGCTGGTACACTTTGAGCATTCACAAGCCATTTGGTCGGTGGACAAAAAAGTTAATTTTGCAGTTTACACCCTTCATGATTGTTTCACATGCAGACAGTGGTGATAATTGGTCAAATTTACATGCTGAACTTTACGGGTTGAAATGAAAACCTGCATGTTTTAGCCATGCTCGTTCACTTGGTTTATGTTTTCTAAAAGCTGAGGTGGTGGCTCCACTGTCCCTGGGTGCACCCTGGCATCACCCATCATCACCCTGTCACCCCCCACCCACTGACTGGCTATGCAGAGGCAGTGACGTCACCGGGCTGTCTCTCAGTCCCTTCCTGCTGCATCACAACAGCCGTTAGTAGCTCGAGTAGCACTAGTGACCGGGGGGGACAGGATATCCACAGCTAATTTATTGATAAAACAACTCTACTGACGTTGCAACACTCAACAACATCCTGACACGGGGGTAAACGACAGGAACTGGTTGCAGTGCGATAACCCCGCTCCAGCTGTTGGGATATGGCCAGGCCGGAACAGGTTCTGCTCTTGGAGCCTCAGCACGAACTGAAATTCCGAGGTAAGAGGGGAGGGCCCGGCTTGGACGGGAGGGGGGAGCTGCCTCTGCCAGCAGGGTTAGGATGAGGATGGAGGGGGGCAGATCCGAGGCACGGTAACCAAACCGAGGAGAAGCTAAATTACTAGCTAACCTACACATTTTCACAATAATGTCCTCGTATGAAAAGAGTAAGGGTGCTCTGAAAGGACGGCAGGTCATCTGACATCAAGCTAGCTGGATTAGCTTCCGACGGCTATGCTAGCCAGGCCCTGTCACACATGCAGCAGCTGCCCTTAAAGCAGTTTACAAGTGCAAGACGCGAAACGCATGTGCACTGGGAAATGGCAGTCATAATAAATATGTGACAACATAATTGCCTTCTAAATGCATAACCTTTCATTGCACGTGAGCTGCAACATCCTTAGCAATTCTAGCAAGCTACCAGGAGCTCGCTCTGTGATTGGCTGCCTCGCACTGCTGGCCAGCAAGCTGTCATTTAATAACGTGACAGCTCACAGGACGAAATTACTGCTACTTGATATGTTTTAGCCACAGGTCATCAACATGCCCAGTATACTTAAAATTTGAGCTTTTACAGTCGTTAATTGACATTTCATTTAAGCTCGACATTTGGCTTCAACATGTCACGTTGCTTTAGGCCTAAATAATGTTACATAAACACATATGGGACTATTATATGATGTATCCATGTTGCAACAGATTACAGGGATCCTGTCACAGTTTGAAATATTGCACCTTCTACTCTCTGGTGTAAGATGCTAAATTGTTTTATTCAACATTCTTATTGTTAAAAGGACAGCCTCAATATACAGTCAAACTTTCACTATTATCTGTAGGGCTGCAACTTGCGATTATTTTCCTTGTCGATTATTTTCTCGATTAAGCGATAAGTTGTTTGGTTCATAAAATGTCAGAAAATTGGGAACAATGAAGATCAGTGTTTCCCAAAGCCCAAGATGACATCCTCAAGTCTCATGTTTTGTCTACAACTCAAAGATATTCAGTTTATTGTCATTAAAAAAAAACAGAAAATATTTACATTTAAGAAGCTAGAATCAGATATATTTTCTTTAAAAAAAAAGACTCAAACTGATTAATCGATTATGAAAATAGTTGGTGATTAATTTAACAGTTGACAACCAATCGATAATACGATTAATCATTGCAGCCCTACATAGTGAGGTTTGGAGATATAAGTTGTTGTAGGTCACCCAAATACAATGTGGCCAGTGGATTATGGTGCTCAAAGCAAAAATAACACATAAAAGAATCCACCAAAACTGGGTTTCATTGTAGTGGGATGAGATTTGGCAATTCACAGATTTGATAGATCACACAATGGATAAGATGACAAGTTGGTTATACTGTGTTTTTATGATAAATGTCTGTTTAAAGTAGCATAATGCTGAGCATCTAGTGCTCAAATGTGCAGCTATGGCTCTAACTTGGGTTTTTTACTATGGTTACAGTGTAATAGCACATTATACATACACTTACCATGTTAAGGTGTTGTTATGATTGAGCCACATGTGTGTTGCAGTTAGTAATGAAGTGTCTAAGTTGTATCAGGTTCACAGTCCTCAGCGAGCCTGTAAATACCATGACCAATGAGGTGCCCTGAAATGTGTGGAATAGACAGAGCAGAGGCAAAAATGCTACAATTCAGTTTCCTCCACCAAGTCTGTTATTTTCTCTTTCCGCCATTGTAAGACACCTCGAAGTGTATTGTCGTGTTTGTTTGTCAAGTTTGTTGTCAGTTTAATCTCGAGATAAGTAAGTAGGAACTAAAGTAAGTAGTTTTTTAACACAGGTTACAAAGTGCTTTACATCAACATCAAGCACTACGGCTGGGTGATATGGCCAAAAATGTTATCACGATGAAAAATAAAATAATTCAATAATTATCACGATAATCTCACACCATCATTTCTAAGTTAAGTTTAAAGGCTTATTTTTGCTCCTGAGTGAAAGTTGAAGTAACCAGATAGTAAATTGTTGTTTTAAACTATTATTTATGGTCAGAACATGACAAACAGTTGTCAAACCATGGATCACATAACAAATCTGAGGTAGAACATTTAATACAATTACAATTTCAATAAATATGCATAAGTAAAATAAAGTAAAATATTTTTCCTGTCCCTTTTCCACAACAAAATAAATATCTTAATAGAAAATTAAGTGCTAATTCATTTATGTTTATATTGTTATTCAGGAAAATTATATTGCAATAATTATTATTATTGTTTTATTGCCCAGCCCTATCATGCACAAACACAGAAGTGCAACACAGGTCCCTTTTACCAGTGAGAGTGCAGAAATAAAACTAGTAATAAGACGTTATTCTACATGTCAGCAGATACCATAAGAAGAACAACGTGTTAGTCTGTTTTCCTTAAATTCCTTGCCCTGTCTGTGACTCTCAGCCTCAAGCCCATTTCTTCTTACTGGAGACCTAAATCTTTAAAAAGAAACGAGTCACAATATTGGGAAATGTTGGGATTAAATTTTATCCGCAGATTAATACACATTTTTCACATTAATTCACATTTTGTACACTTGTATGGCATTCAATGTAACATTTACAGGCCCGTGACAAAGTGTAGTGTAATGTGTGGCTCATTTATTTCAAGTTAGTTTTTGGGGACTATAAGATATATCGGACATTGGTTCTACAGGCAATACTTGTTAATAGGATCAGTTTGTTGTTGGTTTGGGTCTTTTCATGGGATGTGTTGACTATGAAAAAACTGAATATCACCAGCTCCACCCATACCTGTAGTTTTAGATACCTTACACACTGGTGTAGAACGGTGGCAAAACCGGTGAATGGAAGTATGTTTGATGCTTTCCATTATATGATTAATTGAACACATGCCAGCCAAAGAGAGAGAAGTATATTACACAGATGTATATCAAGTGTCTAATCAGATGTGGTGATGTATAAGCGGTCACCAGACAGACGGAAGTATGTGCTTTCTCAGTATACTCAACAACACCACAAATCACATGCCAATACTCAGCCCTTAAGTAATATGTAGGCACGCAGTGTTGGACTTAAGGAAAAAGAGACTAGGTCTGTTAGTAGCAACTTGTTAGCCCTAAGCTTAGACCAACTGTGGGCCAAATACTGTTAAGCGTTTGGGACTGGACTTTTTCAGTTTTTATTAGGCAAATTTTTTCGTCAGTGGTGGTATTAAAACTCTTTACAAAAAAAACTCCTCGCTTTTTATCTGCTATTTATAAAATCTAACTTTGAAAGACGACAGCTTCACATATCAGCTCTTCATAATAGTTTTTAACTGCCGTTTGTGGTTTTTCGTGAGTTGGATGCAATCCCGAGAAACTTTCAGGAAGTAGTAGATCAGGTGTACTGTAGTCGCTGCCGTGAGTCCCTTTCATTAAAAGCCTTTAGAAGTCAAGCCAAGTTTGTGAGGGCCTGAATTTCCTCTCTGTCTTTGCTCAAAGGGGAAGGGAAGTGTCAGTTGCTCTGGATGTTTGCAGAGCTGAAACTTTATCTTGAATCTGGTGTATGTGCTAATTCTGAAATAGCTCCATGTTTTCTTGCACAGTGAGGGTACCTCTCTCAACTGCAAAGTATTTGTTCACCACTATAGCTACTATAGTATGTAATTTTTTCTGAGTTTTGAGGTTTGTAAAAAGTAGCATAAAATCAAGTTCAAATGTTATTTGGAGAACTGGAAGTTGGGCAAACAAACACTGGGTTCACTGTCAACATTTCAAGTCATGAGTTGTGCTCTTCCTAAGAATATTTTCACTGGCTCAGCAGCTTGAAAAACATCACCAGACCATCACTGTCTCAAAACCCAAATCAACCAGTATAGATGTATAATGATAAATTGGCAGGTAACTATGATGTGTGAACAGATCTTAATATGCAGCTGCCAAGTGATCGAAAACATGGGATGCTAATAAATGTGGACCTCTTTCATAGACAGAATAATTTATGAATAATATTTGGTTAATATGTTTTTTAACCATACTGTGAAAATGAAACTCAGTTTCCTTAAGTCTGACTGATGTAAAGTGTGTGGTATTGGCACTGTATCCATCTAGATTTGGGAAGTCACACAGTCATTAGTCATTGCCCCTCAGTTGACTATGAATTAGCTCTGCTCTCACTAGAGGTACTGGAAAAACACAGGCGTGACTAACGGTTACCAGTTAACTATCTGGATACCTTTCGCTGTGCAATTTCTGTAATGCCCTGTTAATAAAGAAACTGTTGCCAGAAATAAATTAATTACGTGTAACACTGTCTGCATCGCACGGGAGGGAGCGCTCATGTAAATACATAGAATGAGAGTGTGTTGGAATTAAACTGTGGATACCAGTGAGTGCACCCCCACAATATGTGTAATGTACCGATAATATCAAAGAAGACTTGTTAGATTTTGGGCTTTCTCCAGGGTCGATGCATTAGCCAGATTAGGTCTGCACGCTTTGGTATTTTTCTTAGTGTACTCATGCAAGAGCTCTTATATCCAACAGATTTTACTTTTCTGTTAATGTCATTACCACTCAAGTGAAAAGAAAACCTTACACCAAAATGGAAATTCAGCCACTTCATTCGTCATTAATGGATGAATCAAAGCGTTACACGCTGCTTGCTCCTGTGGCGGGTATTGAATTGAATGTGAACGCAATAACTATACTCATTAATCTGTCTGGTACCTCTGTCTGATCACGGACGTAATTCTGCTGGATGAAATATCCCCTTGTTTTTGTACTGAACAACCATTTTTGGTTTAACTCTATTTATTTATCTAATTATGAAATTATTGACAATGACAAAAGTGGGCCCCAGACAGTACATCACCAACAAATATATATTTCCTATATGTCTTGTATTGTCAAAAATGGGTGATGTCACACAGCTTTTGTGAACATGCCGGTTATCCCGAAGCCTCTCCTAGCTTTGCCCTCCTTCATGTACTCATTTCTCTTTAGTCCCTCAACCTCAGACATTTACCCAAGAGCATTACCTTTGACCAGTACATCATTTCATTAACAATAGAAATTATTAGATACTAATTAGACGTAGCTGCTGTCCACCCTGGCTTTATAAAGAGGTTAAGACCAGAGGAAAATGTGCCAAAATATAGACTTCCCCAGGTGTGGGAAAGAATTAAACAGTTAAATTAGCCAGTTTACCTGACAGTTTAATTCAAATACTTAATACATGTGCAAGAATGGAAACAAATTACCTTTTTAAAACTAACATAAAAATGTGTGACTTGAATGTGTGAATTGCCCTATTAAAAAAATAAACACTACAATCTAGTGCCGCATAGCTCTTTTAACCTTCGCTCACCTTTCAGATTTGGCACAGTGTTATTTTACTGTGGCTTCTGTTGTAAGGGTTTTCTGCATTATTGACAAATCTGTGCAGCTTAATGCATCTGGCCTTGTGAGAGCCTCAGAGAGATGTGGCCTGCATCCACAATGATAGCTGTAATTACTTGAAGCCAAACTGCATCAGCTACTCTGATCATGGTAGTGCAGTAGTAGAAACCTGTGATTTATAGATTTGTACACACAGGTTACTCTGTCAGAGTTTTGGCAAATGGATACTGGAATTGTTATTTAACACACTAGACATCAATAGTCGACATCAATCAAGAGAGCAATGTTAAAAGAAAAAACAGATGGCTTAGTTTGCATCCTTGACATATTTACAACCATTTTATTTTTAATATTTACAATTTCTCAACAGGGGGTGTCGCTGAGATGCAGTATTTTGGATTTTAATGTGAGAAACAGAGTGGAATTATTTATCTTGAGGACAACTTACAGTCAAGCGTATTAAAATGCTGCATTAGGTGATCTAAATCTAAATGTCAGGTCAAATAAAGAAACTATGCAGCAGAAAGTTGACATTGTTATAATTAAAGTCATATCCAGTTAAGCTTTGATAGACCACATTTAAATGTGTTAACATGCATGTCACATATTTTTAATTGGCTTTACCTACTTGTTTTTCAGTCATCTTATTTACTTCCCATGGTTTCAATAAACTCAGATTAGCTAGTTTCTGCTGTGTATGCACATAATAATAATATAGAATTAGTGTCAAATATTTGACAGAATGTTCTGAAATTTGCTTTCTATTGTGACAAAGTGATTCACTGTTAATGCTACCATATATTACACCATAATAATAACAATGAAGCTCCCGCTCTACTTTCTTTCTTGATATGTCAGGGTAAAGATTTAATGTTTAAAATGTTTTCAATTAGACATAAGACCTGTGTCTGCCTGAGCAAAGTTGTTATTTTTTCTGTTTGTAAGTGTTTTTTTTTATTATTCAAACTGGAACTTTTTCTGCAGCAGCAGATGATGGATTTGCATTTTGATCTGTTTTGATCATTTGCTTTGATTATGTTACTTTCTTACTGCTCAGCTCAAACACATTACGAGCTTCTTTGAGTTTGCATGCCAGTGGCAGTTTTATTCTCCGTCAGTTGGTGTTCATGTGTCATTTTCTCCAACCATTTGGCAAACAAGTTAACTGACGAATAGTATTTTAAAATGAATGTGTGTGTGGTGAGTGAGATCATAACTCCTAGAGTGCCTTTGGCAAACATCAAAATTAAAATGGATCTCCGTCCAGTTTTAATTGATGTTATTATGATTTAATGTGACTTGTGTAATTGTAAGTTTTGTCTTTGCTTTTTTGTATTCATTGCCAAAACCGTCTTTGGTGATCCTTTTTACTTTTTTTGTTGCTTCTGTTAAAATTAAGATGGCCATCTCTGGAGGACATTGTATACCTCCTCCTGAAGGACCACCTTATCTTCCTTCTTCACAGGTCCATTCTCAGACGTGGTCACCACAAATCTCAAGCTCTCCAACCCTACAGACAGGAATGTGTGTTTCAAGGTGAAGACGACAGCGCCGCGCCGGTACTGTGTGCGGCCAAACAGTGGAATCATCGATGCAGGCACCTCAATCAACGTCTCAGGTAAGGATCAAGGAAGTGGGACAGAGTAAAGTTGTCTGCAAATTTTTTCTTATTTACATACAGGCTGCTTTAAGATGGAGCGTATACTATTGCTAAAATGATTAGCTGATCACCAGAAAAATTATTTGACAGTTTTCATACGTGATCTTTGGTAAGTTAAATAGTAATGTTGAAAATTATAATTAGTTGTAGCCCTAATTGCTGCAGCAGTGACTTGTGAGACCATCTAAATATCACTGACTTTGTTTTTTATTTGTATCTTGATTATCTCTCTAGTATCCTAAAAGGGTTTGCTCTTTTTACATAAAGACACACGCTTCTCCTCTCCTGTTACCCAGTATTCCCCCATCCTCATTCCCCAGTCTCTCCTGGCAGGCCTCATTCCCAGTCATGCACTTTGAGGGAGACAGGTACAGGCTAGTGTTTCCACACTGTGCCACCTCTGCCATTTTCAGCCACAGACTCATTTTACAACCTCCCCTATCTGGTGTCAACAACTGCAAACTGTGTCACTGGGGCCTGCAGTCAGCACAGTCCGCTCTGTCAGTTGCCATCATTTTTCACCTTTATCAGGCTTAGAAAGGTCATAGGTTTGAGTCCCAGAAGCAGATTGGTTTTCTGAGAATGTAGTCATTACAGGCATGGTCTGTAACCCCTTTCTGTCCTATCTGTCTTCAGGGAGAACTCAGAAAGCGGTGTGCTTAATATGATAACAAGGGTTTGTGGGTTCTTATCATACAGGCATTGTGTGCTTTTAAATTGAAGACACATTAAGTTACTTTGCCAAAAAACACATATTTATTAAAGGCCCTGGTAAACTCACACTGGTGATTTTACAGATGTGTACAGTATTGCCTGACATCCATGTGACTCTGCTGTTAGCTTTGTTGCACCTAATAGGCCGAGACAAAATACAAATTTGTGCTCTAAACCCTGTGTCGGTTGGCCGTAGTTTCCACTCTCCACTTTCCATTTCAATTTAGCATGCAATACGGCACATGCCGTTTAATGCCATGAAGGCCTCTGTGCGGCACATACCATGTTTAGTAACAGTAACATAAACAATATAAACTAAACTAAATGTTTCACATGGTTTGTTGTGTGGTACAGTAAATATACTGTAGTGTCCTAGTGTCCACTTAAAAGCTGTTAAAAGAGGAAATTGAATCATAGTGGAGTATTTCCACTACATGTTACATTCAGTGCCATACCTGTCACCTCATATGCCGCTTCTACTCCATTTAACTGTGTTTTCCCGATCTTGCTGCTATATAATAAGTGGCATGCTGGCCACTGGAGTGCAATGGAGTGCCTCAGCCATAATGAAAACACCTGTGAGCATGTGCAGGGCCTTCAAATCATAACTAAGAACTGGTCACTATACTGTCTAAATAAATAGAAATAAATATTGTCTGGCTTTTGTTTTAGTAATATTTCAGCATAACTCAAAGGCATCCTGTGGCGGTTTGGTCACTAAAAGTGCTGTGGAGCAGGGGTTTTTTGAGCCGATAAGGACGCACATGAGTGATGCCATGCGAAAATGCATTCAGATTTCACAGAAAGTGTTTTGTGTAAACGTAACTTTTGTTATGTGTTCTTTCTTCTTGGCGTTAAAAGCTACATTACAGTTAAATGATAAAATCTCTGAACACGCCAGACTGTTCTAGCTGAGTGAAGTAAACACAGCATGGTTGTCATATCAACATTACTAAATAAAAAATGTTCTTGGGTTGAGATTCATTCCCAAAATAACACACTATCCATATTGTGGTATTCAGGCAAAATGATTTGTTATACTGATTTGTAACTTGTAATTTCTGCCCTGTAATTGTTAATAATGCAGCACAAAAGCTACAAAGACATCCACTTGCATAGAGTCAAAAGGGAACAGTCTGCTACAGGATACCTACTAACCCAAGATGTGGCATTATCTGGACACACAGTGCTTCTGAATCAACCCAGCTGTAACTGTAAATGTTCAATGTAGCCATGACCACTGGAATTTTGCTGAGCTTGATTGTTGGTGTGTAGCAGCATCCAGTGGGAAAATATGTAGCGTGAATGTTTCAAAAATGTGTCCATAAATGTTGAGCTTCTTTTGTGAATATGCCAGACAAACTTCTGACATATTCTGGGAACAAGTTGTCATTCCAAGGGAAGCAAAATAATAAAAAAAAAAACTATTCTTTTGTTGCAGTTATCTGAATAAGCTTCATTAGCACGTCCTTTCACTCATTTCTAGTTTGCCTTTGTCTTCAATGACATCCATATTTATAAAACAATAGGTCTGTCCCAATATTTAAAAGCTACCTTCTCTATTTCATCCACCAACTAGATTCCTGTCACAGAACTTAACCTGATTAGTGTTAGCTGATTCCTGCAAAAGTGTGGTGGATTGAATGCTGTTGACTCCTGGGTTATTTCCCAATAGGTTTACTGGTGTATAATCAGTATTTGTTTCCCACTTTTTTAAATAATAATGAATTATATGGACCCAGGAGAGCACAATCAGAAGTGTGAGATCCTGCTACCCTGAGAAGCCTGAATATGAATATGTTTTATGAGAGTTAGCTCTCACATCCTGGGTAGTTTTCCCTGCAGGCCCATATCTCTCGACAACTGTGGTTGACTTCACTCTCCTCCTCACTCCCACGCTATATTGTCTCGGTAGGTTTGCTGATCTTTGACCAGGTTTTTGTGTTGAGTAATATTGAACAATGTAGACAGGGTGCACCCTTTTTACAAGTGTGGCTTCTCTGAATCTGTTATAGATAGTGGGTGTAAGAATGAGCCGTATGGTATCACCTGTCATGTCACGTCTCGTTTCGCGTTACATTGTGTCGTAATGCTCAAAGCGAGTTCACCTTGAATCTTGTTCTGAATTTATTGATCAGTGCAGTGCTTTGGTCATTAAACTCAGACATTACCTTTTGCTTTTTTGCACAACATATGTTTGTTATATTGTCAAACACAGCTTTTTTTTTTTGCCTGTACGTAGAACCTATCGCATTGTCGTGACACCATGATTTTGCATGGAATTGAGCCATGAATTTTTTCAATAAATACCAAAGCTATAGAGAAGAGCTGAAACAATTAGTTCATTAATCAATTAGTCAGTTAGTTGATTGGCAGATAATTAATTAATTAATTAATTAATCTGCAGCTATTTTAATTATCAGTCATCACTAATTTTTCAAGCAAAAAATAACAAGACCTTGTGTGGTTCTAGCTTTTTAAATATAACGATTTGCTTCTTTCCTTTTATCTTTGCAAATGGAATATCAGCGGGTTTTATACTGTTGGTTGGGAAAAACATTTGTAAAAGCATTTTTAACTATTTTCTAACATTTCATAAACCAGGCAACCAACCATTTAAACAAGTGAATATAGAATTATTAATTGATATTGAAAGTAGTTGCAGACCTACAAAAGAGAATCTTGGGTAAACAATGTAATAATTAAATTCCGTATGTGTTGTCATTGTGAAGGAACAGCACCCATTGATGAACCTCCGTAAGCACTTCAACTAAATAGTTAGTGGTAAATCTGTTGTGAGCATCTTGTCTCACGGGACACGATTAATTACTGACAGGAAAGAAAGTTTTCTTTCCATCTAATGCTTCCATTCATCATCAACAAACAGGCAGGCGATTACAATTCTGCTTGACCGTGTTGCCTACAATTAGCCTCTGTGAGTTATATAAACGATTGCCCAGTGTGAAGTAGGAATACTAAATCATGCCATTAGCAGAAGTAGCTTTTTGTAGAGGTGTGTTCAAAGACTGTAGATAAAAGATGATTTAAATCACTTTTTCCCCTGCTGTCGCTGTGTTTTTTTTCCCCATGTCAGGCATTCGTCCAGGACCTTTTTTTTTTTGTCATTCACTGTTGCTCAAAGAACTTGCATGCTTTCCTGCTTACATTCTCTAGTATTGTCCCCTTGGACCGAAGGTAGATGGCTGTGCAAATTGGGTCTGACTCAAACAGGACGTTCTCAATCTGTTCATGCCGTCTGTTTCTGCTTTGCGATATTGAACTGCCCTGATTGCTGTAATGGTGCACTGCATCTCTGAGGTTTTCCACTCTAGGGGGAATTGGCATGTGCCATATATTAAACCATCCTGTCAGTTACACCGGCTTTGAAATTAGGAGGTCATTTGTTTCTAATGAAAGCCAAAGAATCACGCAAGACTTGTAGACATAGTTGATGTCAAAATATGCCGTTCAATTACACCCTCATTTAAAAACTGAACTCAAAGGAGAAAAAGATCACCAATCAATTGCCATTTTCATCCCCTCTGCACTTGAATACTGACATAAGAAAGCGATCATTGTAAATCATCGTTACAGCTTTAAAATACCTTCCCAGTCATTGGAATGACATTAAATAACACACCACTGACTGAGAGGACTGATGTGGCGATGGCTAGGATTCCAACCCCACACCTGCTTTTTGTTAGACCAATATGTAATGTTAAGAAAGAAAAAGACAGGATTGGAAGCTGTTAGAAAGATTACCCCCTGGGGTATTTCTAAATCCGTCAGTGTTTCGCCGTCATGGTAACACAAATTTAGAAATAAATCAGTTTTTCCGAGCAGCAGGGGCAAGCCCAGAGCCTTGGGAGACTTGGAGGCCCTACAGTAGTTTACCATTTGACAAATACAACAGAATTTGATACTCACTAATTCCTCTTTAATCCGAGGCGTGGACACAGAGTTGAGAAAGGGAAAGGATGGAAAGTTGCTGACAAAGAGACTTAACAGCTTAATCGCTGGCGTAAGTGTTGGTTTCATACTTTGGGCAGCAGATTTTACCCACAAATGATAATGTGTTGCTGTAGTTTGAAGGATACTAACAAGACTCTTTTTTTTCTTCTGACTACTTTTCCTGAGTCTCCTGAGGATGGGAAAACCAAATGACTGTGGACTTCCTGCTGATACTGTGGACGCTGGTGTGCAACCTTTGACACTTCCCATTTCTCTCCCCATGTGTCCTTTTAGTCCTACTTTTCTGTTAATAACTAAAGACAAATTGTGCATTTTAACAAGTTATTTTGGAATTAAAATACCATTGAATTTATAGCTTTGTAATATTTTACTTCTGTCTGAATTCATGAAGTTGAAATTCCCCATTTTGGAGATCATTGATCAGAGTTTTGAAATTTAAAAAACTTGATTTTAATCATTTTCAGTTATTTCAAGTTCAGGACTTATAACATATACATGAACATCCGTTACATTCAAGCCCTTCCCAAACACGTTCACACAATGCAGATTAAGCATGGTCAGGTAAATCTCTCTGTCTTTAGCAGTATATTAGAGTTTTTAAATCGTGTGTCTGTGGTGACATTCCTGCAATGGTGCATGGTGGTGGTAGTGAAGTGTTTATGCCAACCAGCAATGACAGGTTTGCCAGAGCTGAAGGGAGGAGCACCAGCTCAGTATGACAGAGTCTAAATGTCATAAGCGTGTATATTCAAATTATTATAGCCTTTCTTTGCTTCCATATCTGTGCAGTGTGAGCAGTGCCACCAAAGAGGGTTTGCCTCTTCAGAAGATGAGCAAAAAGTCACAAGAAAATGTGGGAAGCACAACAATAATTTTCTTCTTTCCTGTCCAAATAATTACCTCACGACCCTGCCCTGCCATCCCCTGGGAGTGGTCCCAACCCCAGATCCACTGTCCTAAGTCATTTTAACATCCTACAGAGCTTAGAGTTGTTTTCACATTTCTTTTCCTACAGGGTGAAAGAAAACATCCTGAAATCTTTACCTTATGTTTTCCCTCCTACGCTGACCATGACTGTCATTTTACATTTCAGTTATGCTGCAACCTTTTGACTACGACCCCAACGAGAAGAGCAAACACAAGTTCATGGTGCAGTCCCTGCTAGCACCTCCTGACATGACCGACATGGAGGGAGTGGTGAGTGTGTCTCCATCTTAAATTCAGCTTTCACCATTAGTGTGTTTTTTGCCGCGCTATTGTGTGCAAATGCTTTAAAACAAACACGCTTGGCTCACTCATACAGCGGACACTGTGATGAACTCTGTCCTCAATAGGACAGAAAACACATTCAGTGAATTTACCTGTAAGAGGCAGCTGATCGACAATGCCCAGCCTGGATGAGAGGTTGTGTTGCAAGCAATAAAAATAAAAAAAACGCACAATGTGCACAGTTGTGCATGTGATCTCAAAGTCGTCTTTGCGATCGTTGGCCAATATAATAGTAAATCATCATTACCATGACAACAAGTATTAGAGGATTTGGAGTGATAATGTGACGCACACTCACATAAAAAATACATACAGACATACATAATCAACCTGAGTGACAGAGAGACACTGAGGCAGAGGCTGAATCCCGATGGGTTATTATGCAAGCCTGTGACTGTAACAGAAGTTGGACTTAAAAGCAGGTTTTGTAAGGTGGGGCTGTAGGAAGAGCACAACAGAGATGCAGTCCTCCTGGGGGTAAATTTCTATCCATTGTTGTTTCACACAAGATGTGTAGTCGGTGAACAATGAGCAGATCTCCCTGATTAAAGTCCAGCTTTTGATGAAAATGTTGACTAAGAACACAGCCACAGTCTGAAAGAGTATTTGCAAACGGAGAAGGGTACTCTAAGAGACATTTTATACCTGGCGGCTTCAAAATTATTTTCACAGTAAATATTATATTTCTGTAGTTGCCAATATCTTGAAAGGTTCATACAATGTACTGTAATGCTTTTCCCACTTTTGATGATTTATTGAAAATAAATATTAAAACATAAAATGTATTCATTCTGGAAATAACCAGAATCTAAAATATAACTTTAAATAATATCTCTAATTCCACAGAAAACCTAGTTTGATAAGGATACACTGAAAGAGATATGTAAACTGTTTAACTGTGCAAGTGTCATACACACTTTAGTGTTGGAGAAATTAACTTGGTGATCTAAAAATCACATCTCAAATGTGTTTGTCAAACTTAACTTGCAATGCTGAGTCCCAAATCTAAATGAATGTTTTTCTTAAACTATAAAAATGCATGTTGGTCATTAAATGTTAACTGCAATATCGTATTTATTGGGGCCAGACACTTATTTGAAGTGGTTTACAGCAAACAGCTGAGAAGCCAATCAATATGATGTGCTATAAACATGTAACATAGAAAGACGCATGTACAAATGTTGCTGTTTTGACTTTTTATCACATGTTGATACGTTTGTCCCTTTTGCCTTGATTAGATATTAAAGTAATAATGTGTTAATACTCGTTTTCTTCACTTTTGGTTCTCCGTCCCTTCAGTGGAAGGAGGCAAAGCCAGAAGAGCTGATGGACTCTAAGCTGAGGTGTGTTTTTGAAATGCCAGCGGAGAACGAAAAAACGGTAAGCACACAATGTTGCTCCACTTGTCTCCTCGCCTCACCGTGTCAGTTTTTCGTCATCACTACAGATTACAGATTATTTTCAAAATCACACTAATTGGCTTGAGCAGGGAGCAGCAATGTATTTTTAATTGTTGACGTGCCATTCATTATCTATCGTGCTGCTGTTTTACACCAAACATAATGATGCTTTGTATTGCTTCTTTCTGTACAGTACAACATTTGTGTGCTTGTTAATATTTGTCTCAGGGAGGGGCTGCATTATTTATAGATGATGTTGTTTTCCAGTACTCCACCTCTTAACTGCTGTATGAGCATTCTCTTTCTGTCTCTATCTTGTCTGTCTCTTTTTTCACCTGTCCCATTTCTCTTTCCTTCTCTTTTTCTCATTTTTGCTCTCTATTTTGTCTAAGCTATTTCTATTTTTTTTTGCATTAAGCTCCCTCTTCATCCTATTCTCGATGTTGTCCCACTTTCCTGCACCTCCACCTCTCTCTCTGTCTCTCCCTGCCTCAGCTACACTCTGAGGCATCTACTTTCCTTCAGAGGGCTATTTTGTTCATTCTCACATGCAGTTTATTATTGTTGTGATCCATCTCAGACCCCCACTCAGCTGTAGAGACATTATCCTGTCATGATATGAGCCGAGCCTACAGGCTTCATGAACACAAGGAGCGAAAGGGACCCATGGTAGTTGTTTTCAATTCATTATGAGCTGTGCGATACATACACATGGCTGGCTCCAAGTCAGCACTGTGCACCACAGAGTCCGATAGACAGAGATAATGCTGATAGAAACCAGCTTGATCCACTTACGAAAGGCACCCTAGAGATAGAGGCAACATGCAGATATACAGCTTGAGAGGAGGCTCTGTGTTCCTACACGCCGTGTGTGTGTGTGTGTGTGTGTGTATGTGTGTGCGCATAAATACTGTATATGAAAGCATGCAAATCTTGAAACATAAAATTGAACCCGTGTGCTAGCCCAAGTCATTGGTCAGAATCGCCATGGAAACATTGTAGCAGCAACAGACAGCTTATTGGGTTATAACTTGTCATCCTGTAACCCACTTATAGCATGACATGGAGTCCAACAAGATGATGTCGTCCAGCTTGCTGAAGTCCGAGTCCTCCGCGCTGCCTCTGAAGTCGATGAGCTCCACCCTTGATGATGGAGAGGTAAAGAAGATCATGGAGGAGTGTAAGAGGCTGCAGATGGAGGCTCAGAGGCTACGGGAAGAAAACAAACAGATCAGGGTGAGTGAGACGATTCGAGGACCACAGTCAGTTAATTTTATATATTTATTTTTTTGTTTTGTTTTCCAAGACAGTAAACACAGGTGACAGTGTAGTCTCAGTCTCACAGACCAACCCGATCTCTGCAGGGTTTCCCTTAAGATTATTGGATAGCATAGGTGGTAAACTATTGATGATAAGTCCAGCTGTTCTTTAAACTAACTTAAAGTGAATATAGACTCTGTTGGGCAAAATGTGAATGGGTGATTATCAAACAAAATTTTTCTTTTTTTCCAACTTTGCAACTTGCTGCTTGGAATAATTGCTGGAAAGTAAATCTACAATGTGATTGAACAACCACTCAGCTGCTGAGCTGAAAGCTCACTCTCTAAAACTTAAGCCTAAACCTAATATTATATTTCATAAAAATGTAATTTGTTCTGACCTCACCATAGACACTCCCTATTTGTAAACTCAACCCCGGGTGAGCATTCAAATGTTGCTGTTTAGATTAGCTTTAAAGTTTGTGTATTGAAATGAGTAACTGAGTAACACTGAAAACAACGACTGAATATGTATCTTTGGCACATTTTCATACTGTAAAAGATGCTGGATATAAGTTACTGTATTAACACATCAAATGATCAGTCAGTAGGTTAAGAACTGCAATTATCTTTTATTATAGTGCCGGGCAACGATTAAAATTTTCACATGATTTTCTTGCGATTAATTTAAATGTACTGCTATATACACAAAAGTGCAATAACATGGTTTTTAAACACTTTAAACAAATAAGGTGCTTTTTACCAGCAGTAAAATAGCAATAAAATATTTCTTGTAAATCTCAACTTAAACATTAATGCAATCAAATCAAATATTAAGCCAAAGCTATTTGCCACTGCCAGAGCATTACGTTGTATCTAGCTTGGTAAAGCAAGTTACCATCAGAGTCCAGTTTTCTAGGGGGGTTTTTATGAACTGGTATCAGCAGAAACATTTCTCTTTTATCAGGGAGCAGCAGAAACGGTCTATGTTCAATCAGTATCAAGTGTCCCTGTTAGAGTGAGGTGAAGGGGTCGAGCAAGGTGAAGCGACAAGCGGGTGCATTCACGTGGAACTGTCGCGGTCATGCTCGCCTCATGCACACGCCCGCCTGCTGCCGAAGTTGAATTGTCTTGAACTTTATGTACGCGTTGTGCAGCACAAATCATAAAAAGAGAGACTGATCCTCGCTGTTTGTGAGTTTCCAGAATCTAAATAGGACATCAGGCAGAGCATCCCTGCAAAACTAGATGAAGGCCTATCAGGTAAAGTTATGTAGCCTGTAATATTAAATAGGCTACAGCTGTACAGCGCACAGAAGCCGTTGCCATGGTTACTGTCAATAGAGCGCCTGCCGTTTACTCGCGGAGCGCTGTCTTTCTCCCACACGCTGTATCCTGCCAAAGACTCCCTCCACTGCTTGTTTGGGTGGGATCTTTGCAGGCTGATCAACATCCCACCCCTCCTGTGACCTATGGTTTGACTGAGACCTATGTGTATTCAAGCCAGTCACCAACAGATTTTCAAAATAATAATTTTTTTTTAAATTGCATTAATGTGCGATAAAATAATTGTTGGCGATAACAACGCGTTAACATGCCCAGCCCTAATTTATTATGAACTAATCGTTTCATTTATAAAACACGAGGATCTACTGAAATCTGCCAATTGTGATTTCCCAGAGCCCAAGTAACATATTTAAATGTGCTGTTTAGTTCGACCAATAGTCCAAAACCCGAAGATATTTAGTTTACTATCACAGAAGTCGTTGAAAACCACCAAATATTCACACTTTCAATATTATAGTCACTGATTTTTTGGGCATTTCTGCGTTAAAAAATGACATAAAGATCAACTAATTGATGATTAGTTGATGTCGATCAACTAATCGATTAATCGACTAATCATTTTACCTCTAATACATTCTGTACGTTGAATCTTGTAACACACGGTATTCTTCAAATCCAGCTACAGGCTTAAATCAAAGACAGAGAAAATGTTATTCCACCGAATGGGCAAAGAAACCCGGCTTCATCTTAATCATCAAAATTAGCAGATGACATCACTAAACATCCAGATTCACATTTGCGTTTCTTGGTTATTTTTGTACTGATTAATGTTAACAATCAAGATAAGCAAATTAAATGGAAATTTATTTCACATTAATGATGTTGCGTTTGTGGTGTCCACCACCCTTTGCTGTATTCCTTTGAATAGAGACAGTAACTCAAGATTGAGGTTTGCGTTAAGCCCAGAGCTCGTAAGGCAATTTTGTAAATCAATGAGTTTCCCATCAATCAGTTAAGTAAGGTTTAAAATTGGGTTTTGTTAAGGTTTGATCTGAAATTAGTCTCACACACACACACACACCAAAGACAGCTAAGAGAACCACCACCACCTCCTCCCCTTTAAGTTCTTGCCAGAAGCAGAACGACTGTTGGCTGCTCCTGCGGCTGAGATTAAACTAACAGAGGCCCCCCCCACCCGCTGCTGGGAAATGAAGTGTGTTAAAGCCTGGCGCCTTCTGCGGTCCTCGGGGGACTGGGTCAGATGAAGATTTAAGCAGATCCTATTTCTTTCAGTTAGTGAATAAATACTGTCTTATCTCATTGACTGATTGACAAACTGAGCGGCTCTTCTCCACTTCTACATTCCCTTTTTTTGTTTCACTCTCTCACCACCACCCCTATTCCTCTTCCCACACTCTCAATTCTCAGTTATTTCCTTTAGCCTCCGTACACCTTTCACACGGTCTCTTTTGTTTTTTGTTTTTTGTTTTTTTCAGGAGGACGATGGTCTGCGGATGAGGAAGAGTAACATGATGTCATCTCAGCACTCCTCAGTTGGCATGAAGAAAGAGGAAGGGTTGAGCGCCCGCATGATGGCCCTCATTTTGCTCTTCTTTGTGGTGGGCCTCATCATGGGCAAGTTGGTCTTGTAGATGGCAGCGCAGTTCGGTCGGCCGCAGCATGCTTTCGGGGGATGAAAACAAACATGGGATGTAGGATTTTGCATCAGAAAGGCCATATCCACTGGGTGGGGGGTGGTACTAGTTTTGATTCAGTCTTATTTATGTAAAAAATTTCAAAAGTAATGTATGAGGGGGGGAAAAAAAGAAGAAACAACAATTCATCATCTTATGAACAAACCTACTGTTACAGGTCTTGCCTCTACGTAATCATCACATAATCATTCTGGCCCTCTTCCCAAAGTTTCATGTATACAGATGACTGGTTCTGTGGGCGGGGGGACATGGAAACGTGATTTAATGCTGATGTTTCAGACCAGTGGATTTTCTAACACCGGTGAGGTAGTGTTGGTGCGATTGAGTCAGTTTGCAATTGTGTGAATGTCATTTTAGTGTATTGTTGTTTCTTTTTCTAAATGACGGAGGCCAGAGCCTGTGTACATGTATAGGTAACCCCCCTCCACTGTACCATATATCCAGGTGTTCCTTCCAGCTAAACCCCCTTTAAGAAAGGGATTTACACAGAGGCGATCAGTCGGGGTTATACACAGGGCTATCAAACTGACTCCTCCAATCAGAGGCTTTGTCAAATCGGCTTGTCTTTGATTGTTGAGCAACCTTGATCAGTAAACACTATACCATAGGTATTTTTGTTCCTCGTGTCACTTTTATTTTCACTCTACTCTATTCCCGTCACCTGCCACTCAGTGCTCACCACATCCCCAGTTGTCAGAGGGGGATGTTTGATTGCATGCGTTCACACAGTGTTTTGCATCTGGACTTCTGAATCTAATTTAATTGCTTTTATAATGGTGAAAATAATAATGTCATTTGGCTGTAGGTTTGCAGAACTACATTTTCAGATTTTTTTTTTCTTTCTCTCTTTTGTGTTATGTTGCACTTTTTATGATTTCAAGTAATTTTTTGTTTTAAAGGTTGAAGCATTTAAGAATATTGCTACCCAAAATGAGCTCCAGATTTATAGGATTAGATCGTTTCTGTAAATGTTCTCCAGATGAAAGCCTTGCTTTGTAACGTGTTTGTGCAAGTTGTTCTCAGGCCAAGATGGAGGTACATACACAGTACATTAAAACACACATACACATATTTATTTATATATGTACTGTGCAAGTGTATCTGGAATAATTGATGCTGTTTTGAAAGCAAAGGGTGGTCACACCAAATATTGATTTGATTTAGATTTTTCTTCTGTTCACTCACTTTGTATTTTGTTAATCTATTAACACTTTAATTTTTAAAAGCATTTCCACACCTACCTAAAACTTTGGCACAGTACTGTGTGTATAAATATATGTATGTATGTATACACACATAGAAAGCATACATATAGTGAGAAACCACAAATGGACAGAAGGTGCGAGTAGAGGCAAATGGTTATGTGTTTCCTTGACAACATCAACAACACCAAGGTCCTGTCACAGTGTCCTAAAAAAGGGACCTTGGTCTTTTCCAGCGCTTTTTTGTTTCTCATACTTTCCTACTGAGCCATACATTTGTTGACTTTCTGTTTTGTTTGGGGCAAATGTATGTCAGAGATTAGCTGAGTGTTTTAAGCTGCCTGCTCAAGCTCTGCACTGCTGGTGAGTTTGCGGTTTCCTTCACTCGACTGCAGGCCTGTGTTCATTTTTTGGTGTTTGTTCAGCATTTATCCGTTGCATATTAATGTTATATCCTCACTGCATTTGAAGTTGTGTTAATTTTTAAATGCACTGAGATTAAGAGTGTCTCTCCTTTGATCTTCCTGCAGTTTACAACATTTTTTTTTCTCAAGTGAGAGGGGGGGAAGAGCTTATAGCCTTGAAGGGACCACATGATGACAATGTACTGTTCCAGAGGCAATGTTTTTTTTTTTAAACAAACAAAAAAACATACTTTCAAATCGTTTCATCTCCAAATTTGCATGAGGAAAAAAATCATTGCAGTGTCATTCTACTTTGCAATATTTGACGGGAAAAAAAAGTTGGTCATATTTATGTGCCACTTTATCCACATGAGATGAGAAAACAGGAGTCTATTTCCCTTTTGTTAAGCTGAAAGGGAAAAAAAGGACAAAACACAACCATTTTTTCATGTTAATTGGAGTGGTAGATGATGGATCAGACTCGTGGGGAAAATATTAAACTAAACATGATTGTGTGTTTCTACTGTATCTCTGTAAAGTTGTTGGGTTGAGGATGACTTGCTGCTTAAAGGGAGGGCAGAGCATTCCCATTCACAGTCCCAGTGTGGGTTATCAGACCTGGGTCACATAGTAAAACACACTACGCTGACCTGTTCTGGAGTTTCTGACCATCACCGTGATCAATGTAAACAGTCGGCAAACTGTTTTGTATGTATATAAATAAATAAATAAATAAGTCTATCTGAGAAGAAGATTAATATTCCTAGTCAAGTAGTCTCTCTGGTGTATAAAAACAACCCAACCTGGTTGGACTATGTAGCATCTTAATAAATTAAATGAATAAAGCCCCTACCTAACTGTGTGAAGTCATTTCCTGTCACGCACACAGGTTATATAAAATCACAGAACATATTTGCTTAAAATAAAAATAAAAATTGATTCTCATTGGGTTAGGGCTATGATTTGTGTGTCTGTCTTAGCACAAGTCTTTTTCTCTTTTCTGAAGCTCACATCAGCCCACTATTACCGCAGAGGTTTAGCCCTTTTAGTCCAAGGATGAATAAAAACTATTCTAAATTACAAATACACAAAAATTAAAGGAACAAGAACAATTGTGTTGGATTATACAGGTGTACCTAATAAAGTGGCCACTGAGTGTATATGAAAGCAAAAGCATTTGAGGGTTTTTTTTTTGCATCACATTAGCTTGTCAGAGTGTTTGCCAGAATAAATACCAGTGGACAACATTGTAAGGACAGCACACGCCCCATTGCAAAAGCAACAATACTGGCTGTTAAGTTTTCATACTGCTCTCATTACAGCCAGACTTGCTGGCTTGTTAGTCGCTACCACTTTGCTTGATTTTGGCAGTACCACAATTTGCAGTGGGATAAGAATGTTAAAATATATAGCTGCAGGGAAATTAATTACCTCTTGCATTTCCACTTCTGCAGTTGTGGTGCGGAGTAAAATAAAATCCTGGTGATTCATCCAGTGTTATTGTATCGGTAACAACCAGTCAGTGTTTCTGTCTGCACCTCGTGGTTGTAGCCAGCAGAGCGGAGTTTGTGTCAGGAACCCCCCGGGGTTCACCTGGGCCCGGTAGCTCCTCAGCTGTTTGGCTTGGCCACAGCAAGACACAGCTGCAAAGTCAGCGGTGGAAGCAAACCCGTGTTAAATTTGCATTTCTGTGTTCTGTAGGGAAATAATCTATTTCCAAGGTAAATCGTTTCAAAAATACTGAAAAGATGAAAATCACAAGAGGTTTGCTGCTCACCTGAAGAAGAGGTCAAAGAGGCAACAACTGACATTTTTTGTCTTGACCAAGTTGCCAGCCAACCAGCAGAGACTCCAGGGATTCACTGCTTCTGGCCAAGAAATAGTCCGGCACAAATCTCCCTCACAAAACCAGAACTTTTTCTTAACATTTTGATTTTTGCACAGACTAAACAAACAAGAGCTTTAGCCTCACTCATTAACACTCAGATTCACTCACTCAAATGTTGTTGTCTTTGGACAGGGACTATTTATCTCCGCCTCTTTCCAGTCTGGATGCTAAACTTAAGCTAACCAGCTGCTGGCTGTGGCCTTATAGTTAATGTACAGACATCAGAGTGGTGTCAGTCTTCTCATCTAACTCTGGGCAAGTATTTCTCCGAATGTTGAATTATTTATTGTGTAAACAGCAGTGCAAATCCTTCACCTCAGACTGTTTTGCTCCATTTCCTTTAGCCCTTTTGTTTTGTTCTATATTTGTGAGAAATTTAATAATAATAGCATACATGTATTTTTTTTGAGCTGGTAAAGAGGGGCCCGGGCCTCCAGGATCCCAAACATAACACCAGGGTTTAAAAAGCAGTTATTCTATGATATATTCATTGATGAAAGGGTCCCAGATCACAGCACACAAATATTGCATCTTACAAATCATAGGAAGGATAATGCAATGGTCAAAGCTAAAATTGTGCTTTAAAAAACTGCTTAGAGGAGACCTTACATTTTTCCTTGACTTTATACTGCAGTTTCCTGAACTGCTGGTTCTTATTATTCCTACTGACCACAAGGAAATTACATCAGACACTGATCTCTGACCCTTGCACAGGACGTCTTCTATAGGCCGCAGACTGTTTAATCCTCTGTCCAGAGGCTTTGATCCATAATCATCTGCCCCGCTCCTGCCCTGTTTCAGTGAGTCTGGTCTTCATTCAAGTCTGTACAATAGACCTTATGTCTGGCAGCACTTTGACGTTGTAAAACTTATAAAACATTTAATTATGCATCAGCCTGACACACTTCTTATTCTTGGTGTTAACTGTGTGCCATGATCACTATTGGCACCGTGATGAGTAGGGGTGGTGATGGCACAATGGATAAGACTATGCCTTTGGCGAGAGAGACCTGGGTTCAATTCACCATTGTGTTCCTGAGCAAGACACTTAACCCCTAATTGCTCCAGAGGCGTGCAACCTCTGACATGTATAGCAATTATAAATCGCTTTGGATAAAAAGCGTCAGCTAAATGTAAATGAGTATTGTTTTACTCTGTTGTTAAAATACACAGAGAAAACAATCCATCTCCTGCTTCATGGACAGGTTTTACATATTTGGCATGTTTATATATATGCCCTTAATTTATTTTCCTTCTCAAAGTTGCACTAGTGAAACAAAATACTCTGCACGGCGTAGTTGTTTGGCACATAAATAAGCCAAATATCATGCAAATCGTCTATTTACAAGAGGTCCCTGTAAGAGTTTTGGGGCCATAACTGTTTGAAAAGGACTTGCAGCGTGCCAGAAAGGTTGGAGGCAGAACAACTGGCAGCAAGGGATGCAGTCTGGAAGGATCGGCCTGTGGCGGATCTCTCCAGCACAAACCTTTTCAATCATTTCTGTGATCTTAACCTTAGAACAGAAACATGACCTGATTTAACAAGCCACCAGAACTGACAGATAATTCTTAAGGGGAAATATTTCTGTCAAAATGAGCCCCAATGGCAACAAATATGTTGAAAAGGTTGTCTTATACAGGATGATGTACGTTCATTTTGTTATACAACACTGTGTTGCAAAATGATAAATAAATCTACCTTTATAAATAAATCTACCATGTATCTGCTATGTTTTTATGTGCTTTCTAGGATCTGTTGTGTCCTGCAGTTGTGGGAAGTAACTACATCAAGTACTGTTTTGAAGTATTTTTTCTTGTGTATTTCCATGTTATGATACTTTATACTTCGCCTCCACAACACTTTAGATGGAAATATTATGCTTTTTACTCCACTATATTTATTTGACAACTATAGTTAATGATTACTTTTCAGATTAAGAGTTTATATAAAATCATGACAAGATGTACAGTGCATGCATTGTTCTAGATTTCCACGTAGAGTCCCCCTTTAAACTTCTCAGATGGTTTCAGGAGGTCCAATTACCCAGTATTTCATAAAAAAAAACATAGGAGTGAAAATTCAAATGAATATGTTACATTATTAAACTTTTATCTGATGCTTTTATCCAAAGCAACTTAAAATTGTTATATAGGTCAGAGGTCACACACCTCTGGAGCAACTTGGGGTTAAGTGATTTTCTCAGGGACTCATTGGTGGAGATGTCACAGTGTAGAATTGAACCTGGATCTCTCACACCAAAGGCATGTGTCTCATCCACTGTACCATCATCACCCAAATGTATGTCATAGAACTTTTTCTTCTCTCCTGTCACAGGACTTATCTCATGACTTATTTTGTGACCCTTTAGATGGGGGTTAACCCGTAGGTTGGGAACCACAAGACTAAACATCTATCCATCCAGCCATCGTCAACTGTTTATCTTGCATACAGGGACGTGGGGGGCTGGAGCCAGTCCCAGCTGACATCGGGCAAAAGGCGGGGTACACCCTGGACAGGTCGCCAGTCCATCGCAGGGCCACAAATAGACAGACGACCACTCACATCCACACCTAAGGACAATTTTGGTGACACCAATTAACCTAGCCTGCATGTCTTTGGATGGTGGGAGGAAGCCGGAGCACCCGGAGAGAACCCACGCAGATATGGGGAGAACATGCAAACTCCACAAAGAAAGGTGGGTTTGAACCCACGACCAGGACTAAACAATCGAACTGTAAACAAAGTATTTAAAAGTAGCTATAACACTAAATTTGCTACTTACAAATTAGTACATTTACTGAATTGAGGTACTTGTACTATTTCCATTTTATAGTGAGAGCTGTAGTTACTGGTTATATACAGTAGCCTATTACTTTACTGTTTGTACTTTTACTTTAGTTGGATTTTGAAGGACTTTTAAGACTTTTATCTTTTACATTGTAGTAAACGAAATGACTACTTCTTCCACAGCTGGCGTCCTGAGAGATGAGGCGTTCATTTTGGGAAAATTACGTGCTGGAATGTGGTGTTGGACAGGCGGGATCAGTTCAGTAGTTGGTTAAGAATATGAGCATGAGGTCATGACAGCAAGGAGCCCATTTTTTATTTGGCATGAGATCAAGCAGGAAAGTGCGGTCGCTGCCCCGTGCTGCAGCTCTGTGGGCAAAACACATCGCTTTGTTCATTTGTCCCCGAGCCAAGAGGACACATTTTTCAATAGAAACTCATTTTATTCTACTGAGCCAGCCAACCTATGGCTGATGTTATCTTTTATGGGGCAGCTGTAGCTTATATTCTTATAGAAATAATGGGCTTTTCTTAACAGAGCCTGAAATTTGAATGAGTGAGAGAGGCTGGAAGTTACCCATACTACTGCAGTGATGTCATCTCAATGATGTGTGTATGTGCATTAACTGCATATGCAAGATTTTTATGGGAAGGCAGGAGATGGGACCTCTGCTGTACTTTCTATTGCGTCTCTGTCCAAAAGCAGCACTGTTTCTTTCTTTTACCAGAACATTTGTCAGACTAAACCACCAAACTGTTTGTGGTTTGGAAACTTGGTTTAGCTGAAAGGAAACTCCTTAGAGCTTGTTTTGTTTTCCTTTTTTTCTATAGGAACATTCTTCCTAAAGTCGTATTAAAAGGTTTGCTGTTTTATGGTCGTAGTTCAGAGAAGGCTAAAGAGAGTCAAACAACAAACTCAGCTAAAACCTTACATGTGTTCTAATGGCCAGGGTGGACAGCTTCGCCATTTTTGCTTTTCCCTCTTGTACTTGTGGCCTTGAAGTGTTTCCTCATTACATTTGTTGCTGGACTAACATAGTTTTGGATGGCTTTTACTTGGTTTGATGTTTACATACTAAGTAATACAAATGCCACAGGATCATTTTGTCTTAAAGGAATATATTGGCATTTTGGGAGATACACCTATTTACTCTCATACATGAGAAGATCGATACC